ATTGTTGCTGCATTGGCATTGCTGCTGCATTGGCATTGCTGTTACATTGGCATTGTTGCTGCATTGGCATTGCTGCTACATTGGCATTGCTGCTCCATTGGCATTGCTGCTACATTGGTATTGCTGCCCCGCCGATTCTGCTGGTGCTGCTGACACACTTGGGCATCTCCAAAAATGTATAAACAGTTTGCCTTTAGAGGCGAACCTCCCTTTTCCTGATGACGACCGCTTGTGTTGCGATCGAAACGTCGTGATAGTTTTAGTCACTTTATTTTTCATTCTTATTTGTCAATCTACGTGACTTTACCGAAAGAGCCAAAAATTTGAATTCCTGCAGTCACGAAAGTTTTCAGTCAAAATTGTCACCTCTATTTTAATATATTCATTTTGTATCCAACTAATCCAGTGGCGGTGAACACGCTGCGTCAAAAACGCAGCGGATTGATTCCCCATTGCGGCTCACGGCAAGTGATATCTGAAGCACTCCAGCCCCTCCTTCCCACACGTCCTGACCAACCAGCATTGACCAGCGTGGTGATGATGTATGGTCAAACATTTCCTCGTGACTTCAAAAAGCACGATTTTTTTTTAAATTGTATATCCCATGAGAACCTCACGGAAGTCTCATTACTATTTTTTTTCCCAGGAGAGATCCAGGATGGCAAGCCTAATACCATGTATTCATGAGCAAATACACATTTTCATTGTATATTATACCTATGTATACACTTGTACACTTAAATTTTGATTTAAAGCTTTCGTGACTGCAGTAATTCATATTCTTGGTTCTTTCGGTAAAGTCACGTTTAAAGGAAACAATAAAATAACAAAATATACATTGTGGCTGGTTATAGAACATTTCATTGATTTTTTGCTGTATCCATCGTTGAATTTGCTGCGATTTGAATAGTTGACAGCCTGGAAGATATTTGACACTTTATTTTTAAGAGACGCCCGTTGACAACTGCACGTTACCTGGCAATGACAACACCAATCAAGGAATCAATACGAGGGGGCCAATGGAACTGTCCATGATCTCATAGCGATTGCGTTGCAGCGCCCACGGTGGAATACGCGGCCACGAAATTTGCATCACCACTCGAAGCTTCGTCGGGACGCCGCCTGCAGTCGTACTCATGGGATCTTAGGGGCCGTCCATAAATGACGTCACGCACTTAGGGGGAGGGGAGGGTCAGACATTTGTGACGATGTGTGACAAGGGGGGGGGGGGGTGAGAAATGTGACGTCACATCAAAATGCGCAACTTTAAATAAATATAGACAACACGTTCTACTTAATTAAATAGACTTTTTAATAGATGTTTTTTTTCCTACAACATCAGAGTGCAGCGCCACATTAAATACGCACTACAATGACAATGGTTTAAAGAGATTTGAAGTATGTTTTATTTGGGGGGGGGGGCAGAGCTTTGTGACGTCATATTTGATGGAGGGGGGTCTGACTTTTTGTGACGCTGTGTGACGAGGGGGGGGGGTCAAAAATCGTTCAAAATCGCGTGACGTCATTTATGGACGGCCCCTTAACCAAATTTAGCCGGCCCGGTGACCTTTGCGGCAGAGTAAGCGTCGCGAGTTGGCATCCTGGTCGGAGGAGGGGGAGGGGGGTTGACTCAGCCCATCATCTCTCCGTGGTCGATACAGGCAAGTACCGCTTTGTGGGGAGACGTAAACAGTGGATGCCCTGCGGATAGACTCGCCCATGCCATGGGAATGTGTTACATCCCCACCACTGGCTCGGGGCTGTGAGCAGGAGGTGACCAAGCACTGCCTCATCGATGCCCTTTTGCACACGGAACGGCGCTGGCTTTGAATGAAACTAGAAGCGCCTGGGGAGGCTACACCGCTCGGTGAGAAGTTGTGAGCGGCGGTTGTCCTGTGGTTACACTGACCCCTGCCCATAGAAACTTGGAGTTTTCACTACCAGCTCAGGGTTATTAGTGTCGCTGTTTTAAAGGTGTGCGGGGTTGGGGTGGGGGGGAGAGGTGAGAAAAACGTCGGTGGGATGGGCGATAGTCAGAATCTGAATGTTTAGTTATACTGGAGGAATCCGATGAGCTATAAAGCTCTTTTTCACAGATGTTCAGTAGGGGCAGGTCAGAATGTCACAACAACAACAAATATAAAGTATAGGAAAGTAAACGCGTCATTTAAAAAATATATACAACTAAAACTAATCTCTTTTTTATCTTACCAGGTAAAACCCACTGAGCTGTTAGCTTTTTTTTTCAGAAGCAACCTGGCCGCAATGAAAACTCAACAAAGTGGCTCATGATAATAGGGTTTTCCCAATTTTTTTGGCAACAAAGCAGGTGTTAAGATATTAAAACACCAAACTGAAACCTTCTGTAAGAAATCATGTCTGCATTCACAGTACTGGCAAAGGAGGTCCCATGATGTAAAGTGGCTTATCATGTGGAAATGTACAGAAGCAAAATGATCTAAAATAATCCAAATGCATGTTTCAACGTTACACAGACTGCACACGATTGTTTTAACACGAAGTGTATTGAATGACGACGCGGTCTGATCCTGTCTCCCATGCATTCTGCTCTGGCTCCCACCTCCTGTGTTATATAACGGGCGCGTTTCACGTTATAACGGGAGCGTTCCACGTTATAACGAGCGCGTTCCACGTTATAACGAGCGCGTTTCACGTTATAACGAGCGCGTTGCACGTTATAACGAGCGTGTTCCACGTTATAACGAGTGCGTTCCACCTGATAACGAGCGCGTTCCACGTTATAACGGGCACGTTGCACGTTATAACGGGCACGTTGCACGTTATAACGGGCGCGTTCTACGTTATAACGAGCGCGTTTCACGTTATAACGAGCGCGTTCCACGTTATAACGAGCGCGTTCCACGTTATAACGAGCGTGTTCCACGTTATAACGGGCGCGTTCCACGTTATAACGGGCGTGTTCCACCTGATAACGAGCGCGTTTCACGTTTTAACGAGCGTGTTCCACGTTATAACGAGCGCGTTCCATGTTATAACGAGCGTGTTCCACGTTATAACGAGCGCGTTCCACGTTATAACGAACGCGTTCCACGTTATAACGGGCGCGTTCCACGTTATAACGGGCGTGGTCCACCTGATAACGAGCGCGTTTCACGTTATAACGAGCGCGTTCCACGTTATAACGAGCGTGTTCCACGTTATAACGAGCGCATTCCACGTTATAACGGGCGCGTTCCACGTTATAACGAGCGCGTTCCACGTTATAACGGACGTGTTCCACGTGATAACGGGCGTGTTCCACCTGATAACGGGCGCGTTCCGCGTTATAACAAGCGTGTTCCACGTTATAACGAGCGCGTTCCACGTTATAACGAGCGCGTTCCACGTTATAACGGGCGCGTTCCGCGTTATAACGGGCGTGTTCCACGTTATAACGGGCGCGTTCCACGTTATAACGAGCGCGTTCCACGTTATAACGGGCGTGTTCCACCTTATAACGGGCGCGTTCCGCGTTATAACGAGCGCGTTCCACGTTATAACGAGCGCGTTCCACGTTATAACGAGCGCGTTCCACGTTATAACGAGCGCGTTCCACGTTATAACGAGCGTGTTCCACGTTATAACGGGCGTGTTCCACGTTATAACGGGCCCGTTCCGCGTTATAACGAGCGCGTTCCACGTTATAACGAGCGTGTTCCACGTTATAACGAGCGTGTTCCACGTTATAACGAGCGCGTTCCGCGTTATAACGGGCGTGTTCCGCGTTATAACGAGCACGTTCCGCGTTATAACGAGCGTGTTCCACGTTATAACGAGCGCATTAAGCGTTGTGCGACAAATGTTCCCGTATGGAAGAATCGCGTTTTAGTGAAAACAAACACAAATCTCGTCTTTATCTCATTTATTACAATCATGCTATCGGCATCATGTCACGAGATGAAGTCTCCGATCCGATCTCTCGCAGTGCAATGCATTACATTGTGTGTCACAGAACAAGCCTGCAGAAGGAGACATCACAGAACTACTTTCGAGGTGCCGCCTTCGAGTGATATTTTTGTGTCGACACACGAAGTGGAGCACCCTTTCATAGACCGCGCTGCAGAGTAACATTCTCCAAGCGGCAAAATGCCAGAGCTACAATTCAGCCAAATCAAGTGACAACCTAAATGTTAGGTGTTACTCTAGAGAGCCGTTTGACGCGTGTACAAACAAAATATTGGGTGTTATTCACAACGCTTAAATTGAGTGATGTTAAACTCAAGCTAATTCAATATTGTGTGTGTGTGGGGGGGGGGGGGGGTGCAATATCCATAACGAGACTGATACAGTGATGTCACGGGTAGACACGATGAACATTTATTTATATTCTTGGTTCTTTCGGTAAAGTCACGTAGAAGGGAAACAATACAATAATAAAAATATAACACAATATTTTTTATTCTTTTATTGTTTCCCTTCTACGTGACTTTACCGAAAGAACCAAAAATAGGAATCCCTGCAGTCACGAAAGCTTTAAATCAGAACATTTATTTATTACAGCTGTCACTGATTGACCGGGTCTACGACCACCAACTCACGATCCTCGTGAACGTGGATTAATCACGCGCGGCAGATTGGAACATTCAGGTTCGTAACCCAGAACTCCATTGGCACCTGCCGATACTTTAAACCCACGGGCGGCCAGCCACGAGGTGCCCTCTGAGCAGAGAACGGCTTTGGCATTGAAATTAAAACTTAACTAAACAATGTATCATTAATATTTACCAGGTATGGCCCACTGAGCCAGAAAGCTTTTTTCAGTCATTTCGGAAGTGACCCGGCAATCACAAATGCCATCTCAACAAAGTGGCTTATCACGTGGAAATGTATAGCAGCCAAATACTCGAAACGCACGTTGATAAAAAAAAATATGGAATGAAAAACCGAAGGATCCAGTGAAAAATCCATTGCTTGAACCAACCCTGGCTATGCCCCCCTCCCCCTCCCCGCCCGCGCGCACCATGTCCACCCACTCGCAGGTGGGCGCCACAATTTTCGACGCTCTCGAGTCGAAGAACGAGGAGGTGGAGAGGGAGAGGCTGCAGAAGCGAGAGAATCTCCTGCGGGGGAAATACAACGTGAGCAGTGACGACTGGAGGGAACTCGAGCGAGTGGTCATGCTGTCGGAGCCGCACCGAGCCGGCGTGCAGTGGAAGTTTGCCGGCTCCTTCTACTTCTCCATCACCGTCATCACCACCATCGGTAAGGGGTGCTGCTTGTTGCTGTTCACGCGCACTATGATGGGGTGTGCAGCTCGCTGCCACCATCCTCCGCCCCCCGGCCACCCACGCCCTAGGTGAACACCGGCACGCGTGCACAAATTGAATTCCCGTGGTACGCGATCGAAGCGGGTGTCGATAGGAATTGACATCCCAAGCACGATAGAACGCGCCTCCGATTCGAGTTTCCCGCCGTATCGCTCCGCGCGCCTGTCGCCCTGCACCACAGCTCTTGTCTCACTGCACTACAGCTCCTGTCTCGCTGCACTACGGCTCCTGTCTCCCTGCACTACAGCTCCTGTCCCCCTGCACTACAGCTCCTGTCTCCCTTCACTACAGCTCCTGTCTCCCTGCACTACAGCTCCTGTCCCCCTGCACCACAGCTCCTGTCTCACTGCACTACAGCTCCTGTCTCCCTGCACTACAGCTCCTGTCTCCCTGCACTACAGCTCCTGTCCCCCTGCACCACAGCTCCTGTCTCACTGCACCACAACTCCTGTCTCACTGCACTACAGCTCGGGATACCTCCTTATTCTTCACATTCATATCGCAACAACAAAACTAAAAACGCTCTTCGAGTCGATCAGAAAACGTCTTCAACATTGCACGGCTACCTCATGACCACGTGCACTCTTGTTACCCCCCCCCCCCCCCCCGTTCGTCGTGACCCGTCTCACTGCACAGGCTACGGACACTCTGCCCCCGGCACCACGGGGGGCAAGGTCTTCTGCATGTTCTACGCGCTGCTGGGCATCCCGCTCACGCTCGTCATGTTCCAGACCCTCGGCGAGCGGATGAACACCTTCGTGAAGCACCTCCTGGAGCGCCTCAAGTGCTGCCTGGGTCTCCGCGAGACCGAGGTGTCCACGCAGAACATGGTGACCGTGGGGTTGCTGTCGTGCGCGGGCACGCTGTGCATCGGCGCGGCCGCCTTCTCGCACTTCGAGGGCTGGACTTTCTTCCAGGCGTACTACTACTGCTTCATCACACTCACCACCATCGGCCTGGGCGATTTCGTGGCACTGCAGAAGAACGACTCGCTGCAGCGGGAGCCTCCCTACGTGGCCTTCAGCTTCATGTACATCCTCGTGGGGCTCACGGTCATCGGCGCGTTCCTCAACCTCGTGGTGCTGCGCTACCTCACCCTCAACACCGAGGACGAGAAACGCGACTCCAATGAGCGGGAGTCCCTGCGCCTGGCGGCGGACATCAACCACCACCAGCAGCAGCATCAGCAGCATCAGCAGCATCAGCAGTACGTCATCGACGGAGACGAGACTCGCCTCAACGGGAAGGCGGTGATCATGCCCGCGGCCACCACCACCACCACCACCAGCAGCGGCACGAGCAGCGGCGTGGGTCGGTACCACGGCACCGCGGCGCGAAACGAGGCCGGGCTGCGCTCCGCGTGCCCCCAGCGGGGACACGCGGAGCGGCTCTCCCCGCCGTCTCGGCCGTCGGCGACGCAGCGCCTCAACAGCAGCGCAGCGGCGCTGGTGCACACGGGGGCGTCCGCGTCGCACCTCGACGCCGGCTTCGGACGGAGCTCGCGGGGGACCCCGCCAGGCGAGGAGCCCGCAACGCCGCCGATGGCCTCGTCGGTGCTCAGCTCGTGCTCGGGTCTCTGCGGCTCGTGGAGGGAGTGCAGCGGCAGCAAGTGGAGGCTGTTGGGCATAAGGCGACGCTCGCTTTGATGGCGGTGGCGCGCGCTGTGTGCGTGCGTGTGTGTGTGTGGCACACGTGTTTTCGTGTGTGTGTGGGAGGCACACGCGTGTTTCAACGGAGAGTTTCCCGCGGCGACCGTGAATGCTGAACGCAATAGCGTCCCTGCATGGCAGTGTTGCCTGAACTTACGAATCTGTGACTTCAGACGACTTGCGTGATGAAATTGCAGCGGTTGAATTTTCCCCGCCGCGCCACCCGCACCTCCCTCCCCCCCCCACGCCATCCCTCATCTCCGCCTCCACTTTGAGCTCTCAAACGCAACGGCATTACAAGTTTGAAACTGTAAAAAGAAACCAGTGACTGTGTAGAATATCTTTAGAAGCACACGCGGGTAAGATAATATTAAGAATGAAGGTGGCGACAGGTTCTTTAAATCTACAAATGTATTTATTATTTTGTTTAAACCACTTGAGAAAACAAGAGACAATGAGAGTCGCGTTTGCAAGGGTGACCTTGGGGATTCCTCTACAAAATAAGGGGCGACGATTGTTGCGCTAAATTCCAATTGAGTAATTTGCGGGGTAATTTTTGTTTTTTCATTTTTCCAAATTTTGACTCAGACGCCAGCACGTATGAATGTCCTTCTCTCGCGACTTAAGTCAGGAAAATGTTTAAGGTCCAACTGCGTAGTATTATGATAGTTATTACACCCGCAGTATCAACTAGGGTGGCCACTGGATTCGAACCGCGAACCTCTGCAACAAGTATGCCACGTCAGTGCGCCAATAATGCATTGAAGTCAACGTAAATGTAAAGCGGTTTTTTTCGCCGATTGACAAATATTGCAGCCCGCAGCATGGATGCACCCTTATGAGGACTCATCAGTGGGCCAGCCATAGCCAAGTAAAGAATCAATGATCGCCCAAAGTGTGTGTTTTAATATACACGTGAGATAACCACATGAGCCATAGGGCACCCATTACCATTGCCGCAAAGTTGGAAAACCATCCGTCACGCTGCCTGAGCGATGCATAATATCGAAACTAGAAAGGCTGCACAATAATTTAACCATCTTATCTTTTATATGGACTTCTTCTGACGGCGTTAAAACGCAGTGGCGGACCTTAAGCTCAGAATGAATGCGCATGCACAGATCTTGCACTGCGCATTGCTGCCGTCCCGTGGTTCGCGTATGGATTGCACGCTGCATGTTGTTTGAACCAAGAGCAAGAGCATGGCTTAGTCCGCTCACTTGGGGCTCAGACTGTATGGGTCGTGCCTGGGTGGCGTTTTGCGATTGAAGCCCTTGAGCCATGGGCCTGGAAATGGCTTCTAGGTACCACCCAGGGATGGCAAATGCTAAGGTGTAAATTTTGTTGTTGTAAACATATGATCACACAAGTCCAACGTTGTAGCTTTTTTTTTAAGAAGAAAAATGTAATTATTTGGGCACCGTAGTGTGTTTGATAGAGACTATAATTTTATAAGAGAGAAAAAAAACGGTCGTCATATGAAACATCGATGGAATATGACAATGAATAGCAAGTGTGTATATTTATCAGACGGTCAAAAAAAAACCCGCTTCGCTTTCTGCCCATTGATGGACACTTGACAGCATTTGCTACCCCAGCTGGTACCGAACGTCCCTTGGCGAACGGGCTCATAGAGTGGGCAACCACGCACGAAGGTGGCAACCACAACGACCTCGGTCAAGGGCCCGATGATGCAATTAACCCACGTGGCCCACCAGAGCTCGATTGTGACATTTAAGTTGTGCTGCACCTAGGGCGACGTTTCGCGCGCGTTATTTGAAAGGCGCGTTTCACGTTGAGCGAGGGCAATTGATGGTTCTACGATTGTTTGTATTGTTTTAGTTGCTGTCCTGCGTCCTGAAAGTGCATCGCCATGTATCCCACGCACGTGTGGTTTTTATTTTAAATTTTAGTTACTGGACCATGTTCTCTGAATTGTGAGATACACCCCCCCCCTCCCCTAATTTAAAGCAAACGTGATGGGGCGAGTGTTATCATTCGGTTATTGTCGTTGTGCAATGCGTGTTTGCGTGTGAGACCACATTTATTTAACTGCATTGAAACCGGGCATACTGTATGTCTGCATTGCGTATTACTTTTCCAGAGCTCTTATAATCCGGAGAATGCGGTAATCATCACGTATACAGCTTCGGCTCAGGGTCTTGTTATTCACGTTGAATGACTCATCTCCAACTTGGCTTCATTTTATCAGAGAGATTATGATACGGGCGGTAAAAGGCGAATGTTTAACAAACAGCCCAAACAACAACAACAACAGCGCTCGTTATAATAAACCCCTGACAGCATAAACGTTTCGGAGAGCAGGTGGAAGGATGGCGGGGTTGGTGGGAGCGGGGATGAGATGGGGGAGGAAAAGCTGAGCAAGGGAAGGAGACAGAGAGAGAGAGTAATCGGGAATGGGCCTCTGAAGGCGCAGGGGTTAAGCGAGGGAGGTTGTTAGGAGATAATTGGACGTAGAGGAAGGGCGCAGGCGGAGGGAGTTCCAGAGGTTGGGGACACAATAGCTATATAGTACGTTGGTATTTTTTGAAAAAATCATATATGTATTATGTATGTTGAACTTCGTTCGCACCGTACGTAGCCAACCGTGCTAATCGGAGGTGCGGGGGGAAGGACAACAAACTAGAAACTAAAACTAAACACAAAAAGCAGTTATCAAGAAGTGTATAGCTCCAGTGGCTTGCTAATATCGGATGTAGTGAGTTGTTATGTATAGACTGGGGACAGATGCAGTGAGTTAAGAGATGCAGACAGAGCTTCAGGACACAGCGTAATTGACATCTACGTGAAATTAATTGCTATGTTTATTAGCACCTGAATTTGAGCTGATATTTGATGCTTCAAATATTTGTACATTGCGCAAACCTTGGGCTGCTTGGGGGCCCTAAGCTTTTGCTTGGTTCGCTAATGCCTGGCGCCACCTCTCATGACCGGTGTGTGTGTGTTTGTACCGCGTGTGTTGTGTTTAGTTTGTTTTTTCCATTACGCTATATCCACCGTAAAATGCGTGGTTACGTTTGATTTTATTTTTGAACAAGCAGCTTTGGTCGCGAAACATAATTCATGTGCAAACCGCTGCGTGTTTTGTATCCAATAGAGCTTAACAAACACACACACACACTTTGCTTGTATAGCAAATACAAAGCTCCCACATGTTTAGCCTTTAACAAACTGTCGGGGCAAGCACGTGCCGTCAGCCAGTAGCCATCTATTGAGACCGATACGGCACAAGAAGGGGTGGGTGAGTGGTTGGCTCGTCCACCCTCGAGTAGCCCTTGTCTCACCACTGCTGATGCTATCCACACCAGGTACTCATCTAAGGCTGAGTTGACCCAGGAGAGGCCCATGATCGGTTCGGATATTCGTCATCGATTTTTTTTGCCTGTGAGCGTGAATCGAACTCCGGTGTCGCAGGGTTCATTGCGCGGTGTGCTAATCACTGCAACTACCTCCTACAGTTGCATCGAGACAAACATTACGCAGCGGCCTAATGCGAGGGCGTGAGACATCACAACGGAAAACTTCCCTCGCTGTGCGACTCTGTTCAGTCTGTAAATGGAAGTGCGAATTTGCATTGTGCGGACACTTTGATCCAAGTAAGCAGTTGCGTTGATTCCAAGTTCTACATTCATCAACGTTTATCAAACATTAAACACTCGAGGCTCTCGTCCGTTTTTGACAGGACGTGCTTAAGCGGTCACTTGAAATTTCATGGACAGACATTTCATGGAATGGACAAATACTCAGCACATTCATCAATAGCACTGTAGGCCTTAAAAGGGAAATGAGGCAATATATAAGCGACTTTTCGAGCATTGGCCCTTCTTCATAGTACAAATATCAATGAAGGCCCATTTCCCGAAACGTCGCCTATTATTTTTGTTTCCTTTTAAGGCCACATTGTTTTGACAAACGTGTTGAGCTGTATTTACTTTCACCGCTGCCAACACGCAGTAGCAGCACCACCAAACCACTTGGCATTTGAACTAGAATTGGCGGACCGTTGTGGAGTTCAGTTTGTAACCCCTCGAATACATGTACCGTGTTCTCCTAATTAATAGGACGCAATGGTTTTTCGTTTAAATGATGGTCCTGTATAGGAAAGCAAAGCGTTAGAGAGTGCGTCTTATAATCCGCGTCTGCCTCGTTATGCGTGGTGCCTTACGATTGGCAAAGCAACAACAAAACGAACGCGTATGACGAATGCGTTCGCCCTTCGAACGAACCCTCGTCGAGTCGTCATTTGCTGCAGACAATCTTGGGAGTGCGTGACTCCCAGCGGGTGTTTGCATGCCAAACGCGCGGTTTTGCAGGTTAATTGGACAATCTCTCCGCTCTCTGCTTGTTCAAGCTCCTCTCTCTGCGTCTCTGTCCGCCGTGCCCAGCGAATTCACGGCGTATTTCATTAACCATTGCTGCTCACGGAAATGTTTAGTTAGAGGCACAGTTTTGGCCGATCCGCTGCTGGGTAAATGGCTCCCCATGCGGCATCAGTCTCTGGGTTATTGGCCACATCACCGCTCGAGTGCCGTGCCGGCCTTCATAGGTCGCCAACAACACTTGCCCTCAACAGTTTCTTGAAAGAATACGGGGGATTTTTTTCGTATTTTAATTTCACGGATATTGGGCCACGTCACTCCATCACGATGTGCTGGCCTTCATATGCGCACTCTCCTCTGTCTGTTAAAGGCTACATGGCTACATGGTTGCATTGCGTCTATGTCCAACGTGAATGACTGTGGTGTGTTCCTATTTATACGTCACGTGATACTTACACATACAGACACACACCACAGAAGGTGTCATCTCCCTGTGTTCCACTCATCAGAGTCCGCTCTCCCAAGTCACATGGGACCATTCATCAGGCTTGTGCGGCGTCTTGTGCGGCGTGTATAGACTACATTATGCATGTGAACGCAGATGACTGATAGATGTGTCAATGCTTTTAGGGGTGGCTGTGGGGACACGAGGGTCGCAGTTTGTGAGCCTCTATTATCAGGCGTGGCTCTGCACGTGTCCCTATACATGTCAACTACGCAAGCAGCACGTGACTAAAAGTGCCATGCACTCATTAATTTGGGAAATTGCCTCGACTACTGTGAGGACTATCGCATGCCAGTATAGTTAAGACGCGTGTTCTTTTGTGCAACACTAACCTAGACCATCAGCACGTTTAAACAGAATTAAATATCGGACATTTGGATGATTGGACCATTTCAGGTATGATTATTTATCCGACTGCGCATTGAGCTCACGGCTCAAACACGTCTCATACGTGACACTCAGGGTGGCGAATGCTAACAATGATTTTCTCGAAGCATTGTATCTTTGGATCGCAGCATCTGCATGACAGCAAGATTACCGCGGGTGGCGTTTGGCGAGCAGGACAATATAATTGCAATGGGTGACGTAGTATGCTTGACAGAGAGATATACTCACGTTGAAAGAAAGCAAAACGCGCGCAAGTTTATAAGAAACAACTTACGGAATACGAAAATGAAAGAAGAAGCCTGTCTATAAACAGACGGCGTGTGTACGCTAAGTTTTACGCCCACTCTGGACACTGTCCAAGTTGGACACTGGTAGCATTTGCCACCCCCCACCCCCAGCTCACTCTCGGTTCGTGGTCTATTACCAGGCCTGTGTGCGTGAGTCACGCCAGCTCGCTGTTTTACCATGGGACTGGGTGACAACATCGGTAGCTCGCCCAGCGCTCAATCGAACGCGCGCATTTGCGTTGCCCGATTTCTCACCAACTCACCAGGGGAAGAATGCTTGTTCTTCTTCTGCGTTGAGAAACTCCCCGTGTTTAACGTTAAAAAAGAGAATACGTTAAAAGTTTAACCGCCGTAAATGCTCTTCACCGAGGATGCTGCGGTGCTGCTGCGGCTGATGTGTGCGCCCCTAACCCTGAGCCACTTTACAACGGGTGTGGAAGCTCGACTCCGGCTTGCCGCTGGTAATCTACTAAAGCGCCTCGAGGCGCACGCTACCACGTGTCGAATCGCGTGTGTGTGAATCCACGATGGGGGGGGGGGTTTCTCCATTTTATTCCGCGCATTGCATTTAAAGGGTGCACACCGACCTTGCAGCCACGTGTGGCCACCACATTCACCGTGAGCGTTCTTGTTTTAAAGAATCAAATCTGTCGAGGCATATCGCGGCCCCCTGAAACGTCGCAACGTCTCGCGTCGTCGCGGACGGGAGCGTCACTCGTTACAGGCAGTGCTGCTTGTGCCATGCATCGAGTTGGTCACCCATGGGGTCCAGCGTCGCTTGGTTGTGGGTTAATATTAAGGAGGGTCAACACGAAGTCGTTGGTTAGGATCCGTGGGAGGGTTAATACGAGTGACTGGATGGCTAGTTGGTTAGGATCAGTGCGTGGATGAGTACTAATGGCTGTTTGTTTGGAGTTATGGTGAACAGGAGGGCCATTCCTTGTCGCTAGAATTTGGTTGGATGATCTGCACTGCTCCCAAACCGCTTCCTTCTCACCATTTACACTTAGCACCTTTTCAGTTTCCGATCCGATGTCGTTTCCGAGTTCTTAAAATAGCGCCACGTGCACGTGGTGCGTGTTGTATGTGGGGTGCGTGTGGGGTGCGTGTGGCGCGTGAGGTCATGTGGGGTGTGGGATTGTGTGGTGCATGGGGTCGTGTGGGGTTGTGTGGGGTCGTGTGGGGTGTGGTGTTGTGTGGTGTGTGGGGTGAGTGTGCTGGGTGTGCCCAGGACGCTGAAACTTGATTGTACATCGGCGTCGTTAAAAGAGACGCCGTGTGTGTGTGTGACAAACGCATAAGAATGACACGGCCTGTCGCAGTGGGTGGCTAAGAGCTCTGGATGGCCGATTCAATTTTTCTACGTAACTAAACGTAACATTTTGGCGTGGTTCGGCATACTCTGTTTATTTTTACGTTGTCAATTTCCACGGGGAGCTGCGTGGTTCTCAGAGTTGTTTGTGAGCTAGGTTTTGAAAACGCAGTCGCATTTTACACATTGCGTAATGTTGACCACTCAATTGCTCCTGAGACCAAAACAATGCCATCGGCATTTGGAGTGAGCATCCAGTGAATCCTTACACCCCATCGATACAACCGATCCGACGCGACCGCTGACATCGAGTGCGTGATTGGCGCTCGCCTGCAATAACTTACAGCGTGGGGTTGTTTAATCGCAATGAGATTGGGCCCCGTCATGCGCTCGAGATACCTGGAGTTCAAGCTGCTCTCCGTTTGGGGGCATCACGCACGCAGATTGGCTAAAACGTTCGTGCGAGAGGCCCTCCTGGGAAAAAAAAAAGAAAACTCGCCTTGCGTGACTTCCTGAGCATTGTCGCGGGTGAACAATTAAATTGATTGCACAAATGACTCCGTTAATATTCCGAAATAACTCATTTGTTATTTTCTGAAACAATTATCGGCATACGATTCCAATGCGTGGTGGGTGTTGATGCCAGCCCTTATTGAAGAGAGGCGAGTTACCATCGCTAAAGCATCCTAAAAAAAACAATTCAGATTTAAGAGAATGGTCAAATGAACGTATACGTAAATGAGACCTGTAATAAAAAGGGTTTTTTTTTTTGGCCTAACCTTCCCCCTTTGGCCAGACGTCTCGGAACAGGTGACCGGTAAGCAGTCATTAATTCGATGCACATTGTGATGAATCACAAAGGCTTGTGCCAGCCGAGTAATATCTTACTTCATATCAACCTCATCATCATTGAATTGCCTGCCAGCACCAGGAAGTGAATGTACGCATTGCAACTAGTCGATTATATCCAGGTAATGTAAAAAATGTATGTAAAAAAAAAGCTAAGAAAAGTGGTTGTTATTTAAATAGGGAGAATAAAATAGTAGTTTTTTTTTTCTTTCTATATGCTGCAACAATGCACTATTGTACGATGATGTCCTAACTTGCGGTGTGTGTGGGTGACGATGGTGCCACAGAGCGTCAGGGGGCGTGGGTGGGTGGGTGTTTCACTGTATTATATAACCTGTACATGATGCTTGTTTTCTATCAGGCTTTGCAATAAAGAGAGACGTTATTCAACGCAGCGAAACAAAAAGCTGGCTGCGATACACACACCAAAAAAAAAAAAACACAAATATATCGCTTTGCTTTCATTCAGCGCTCGGCCTCGGAGTTGGCGGAGGGGATCGAATCCTGGTTCATAGTTAAGGTGGGGCGGGGGGGGGGTGGTTGGGTTAGATCACGTAAATATAAATGTGGCGTTAAACCCACAACCACCCGACACAGCCAATTTAGTATTGGCTTGTCACGTAAAACAAAAGGTGCCAATTCTTTAGTACATCAGCACACCAATGTGTTGGAGAGTAAACCCACAACGTTTACAATTCGAGTACGTTTCGCTGGTGATTACAGCCAGCTTCATCAGGCGATTGGCCCGGAATTGCGAACACGTCTTCCTGTTTCGGTCTTAAATCGTGGAGTAAAGATCATGTCAAACCCTGGTTGTGGAGGTTGACTCAGAAAATCAGCCTTTCCGGGCTCCATATAAAATAAAAAACCGTAACTCTTTGTCGGGAATCCACCACCTTTGTCATCTATGGATAGAATTGCCCCCCCCCCCCCCCCCCGCTCTGCCACCCGCCATGCGAATGTGGAATTTCCACCACTGGTTCAGGGCTGTAATCAGAAGATGAACGCCAATACCCCAATGTTCATTTCAGAAGAACATCACCGACTCCCGTGCTATTCAAACTACAATCGTAGCAGAGCATGTGACTTCGAGACGATTATTCCTTAGAAACGTTATTATGGTGACCATATTCTGTGCTAAGCCTCTGCATTTATTGAAATCGGGCATATAATAATGTTGTAAGATATGCAACAATGCATCGAGTTTAAATCAATTATCGCGCTCAACGAATCATTCAGTCAATATTTTTCCACTCAAATGTTGCATACAATAGGTTAAACTTAGCTCACGTAGACACTGCACGTACTACTCTATCGATTGCAATCGAAACGTCGTATTCTATTATTTAATTTATTTTCTTTCCACTTGACTTTACCGAAAGAACCAAAGAGTAATTACTGCAGTCACGAAAGCTTCAAATCAAGACCGCACGTACTCTTTAAATAGGCAAAGGCGCAGCCCTGCAATTGCGTGCTCGGGGCCTACTGCTGGAAAAAAAATATATCTCCCACTCGAGGGAGTGTTCGAGGGTTACCTGGCTTCCTCGTCCCCGTTGGTCAGATGTCTTAGAAGAGGTGGGAGTTACCCACACTTTACCCCACCACACGCCGCCCGCCGATGGACTACTGCGGTGAAATCCATCAACGCCGCTGCTTGGGAGGGCAGTGGCGGTGAGAGAGGATTTAAGAAACTTGCGCCGTTGATTCAACTGCTGCGCTGGAAGACTGAGAATCAAATCGGCGACCTCTGGATTGCAATTCCAGTGTGCGAACCATGGCAGCTCCAGTCCCACTGTTTAACACAGTGTAAACAAAATGATATAGTTTTTGGTTCTTTCGGTAAAGTCATGTAGATAAAAAAATAATAATAATAAAACATTCTTAAAATTAACTTTACCGAAATAACCAAGAATATGAATTCCTCCTGTCACGAAAGTTTTAAGTAATTTTTTTTTGTAATAGCTACTAATATTTAAAAATATATATATATTTTAAAACATTCTATTTTGACCCTAGCGAAAACTGTCAAAGTTAGAGCGCTCATATGAGCATCGTGCTGTGCTCATCTTTTCCTTTGTTGACCTCACCCGAAGGCAGACATTGCACATTCCTCTGACAGAGGCGAGATTATCCAAAGAACAATTGCCGCTCACTTCCACAAAAAAAGTGGCAATAGTGACCAGGGCTGAATGGACGGATGCTTGAATCCACCAGGACCCTAACCTATTTCATAATTGTGAGGCCACAATTTACGAAATTTGCAAGCCAAGGTGGAAACAAAAAAAAATATATGTCACGAGGTCTGAAAATTGTAACCGGGACAACATTTAAGTTTGTTTCTTAATTTATTTGGGACACGTGGACAATATTTCTCAAACCAGGACTGTCCTGGGCACAACGGGGTCGATATGTTAACTACCTTGCCAGGTATACAGAAGGTCGTGGGTTCTATCCCGACCCTGACACCGGTTTATGTGGCGTTTGTACGTTCTTCCCGTGGTCGCGTGGATTTTTCTCCGGGTGCTCTGGGTTTTCTCTCTACATTTAGAAACGTGCGTTTAGAATATTTGGCCGCTATAAATGTCCACGTGATAAGCCACTTCGTTGAATTATCATTCTGTGGAGAGGTCGCTTCTGAAAAAGAGCTACAGTGTATATGGCTCAGTAGGCCTTACCTGGTCCGTAAAAAATAGTTTTCTTAAGTTTTAAAAAGAAAGACCTAACAATTAGACGCCTGAGGATGGATTGAGTCCCCGATTAAAATAGATTATGCTCACACACGAATGCATGCTAATTAAACAAATGATATGCAAATGTCACGTTAATGTTCCTTTTGTGCTCATGGCGCTAACCAGAAATAGACACACACACGAGATGGTAAAAACGAGACAAGTACAAGAGTTAACTTTATTTTTTGGTACTCCCCCCCCCTCCCCCATGGTATTCCAGTCGTGCTACCGGAATCATTCACGAGACGAAGGACCCCTGAGGATATCTTGCACGGCAGTTCGCCCCACTGGGTCAGAGAACGGCCGTGGAAGAGATGCGTCAACAGAGACTCCGGTGGAAAAAAAACGGCATTTGTGTCATTTGGACAAGAGCGAGCGAATTTTACCACACACTCAATCATGCCGCTATTTTTTTATATTGGCGCTGGAATGTCACCAAAATATTGATTTTATATACCACGTATATAATGGCTGAGATATATACGAGCTCGTTATTGAATTTGGCGATGCGTCTCTCATGCACAGAAGTGTGTTGTGAGTGGCGCGAGTGGCACGTGCGGATCATCCCCACGTGCCTTCGTACACGTCCCAATTAGTGACACGTTTCCAGGATTAATGCGTGAGTTACACAGCGCCCAATTTCAGCCAGAATTATTTTGGCATTCAGTCACATCCATCTCGCCATATTTTGTCCTCGTGATGCTGCGGTGACTGTGGAATAGAATACAATAACAGAGGGTCCCTAGTGGTAGTGCCTTACGCCCTTAATCCCTGCTCCGAGCCAGCCTTAGCAGCGTTCTAGTAAATATCCAGTGAGAAAATCATCCCTGGTTGTTACAACACCGATGCGATAACTTAAAAAGCGGGTCCGTTTAATGTCGTTTACCATCAGTTTAACCACGAACCAGCCTCCTCCTGGAAGTCTTATGAATTGCCGTGCACCGAACGCCAACATGCATTGCAACTTGACCTTGGCGATTGCGCCGTTTGAAAGTGCATTGCCCAAAGAATCAACTCTGCATCTAATGAAGACGGGCCCATCCCTGAACCGAGTAATTTCCCCCGAACCAAAATCTCTCTCGAAATCGCACAACTCAAATCGTCGCCTGCAACTGCTTTGTCCACACAGGAGCGAGTAGTTGCATAACAAGGAGATGTATTATTATGATTATTCCAATCCCGGGATCTCCGCGATGGTGGCTCAGCTATCTGACCTCCAGCGGTCAAAGTGGAAAATTGGAAGTCCCGGTGTGAAATCCATTTGTCCTGCGGCCCACGTTAACTGCCGCTTCTCCTCTGCGGAAACATCGCGGTGTTAGCAGCAGTAGGAACCGTTCTGGGAAGTGGTGGCACACATGTGCTTGGTGTTCTGAGAAGTTCCGATATTATTATTCAGAATTACAGGTTTATTTTGGGGGTTAAATTGCGTAAATATATAAATGTGTCTTTTCGATTTAAAGCTTTCGTGACTGCAAGGATTCATCTTCTTTGGTTCTTTCGGTAAAGTCACGTAGAATGAGAATAAAATAATAAATCAATAAAATAAAATAACACAATCAAATTCTCACGACGTTTCGGCCACAATACAAGTGGCCTTCTTCAGGTGAAAGGAACAAACCTGTCGGGACGACAGAGCTTCAAGCTCTCCTGACTCTTTTTTTCAGCTTCAAGCTCTGTCGTCCCGACAGGTCAGTTTCTTTCACCTGAAGAAGGCCACTTGTGTTGTGGCCGAAACGTCGTGAGAATTGTATTGTGTTATTTTATTTTATTAATTTATTATTTTATTCTCATTCTACGTGACTTTACCGAAAGAACCAAAGAAGATATAAATGTGTCGTTAAACTCACCACCACTAACGTCGTACTCAGATTCTAAATGTTGTTGCTTTGCTCTCCAACACACCGGTGTGCTGTACGAGTTCTGTTTTACATGACAAACCTCACTAATTGGCTCTGTCGGGTGGTGGCGGGTCTAATAACAAAACATTTATATATTTACGCGATCTAACCCAAAAAAAAACTGCATCATGGATGATATTGGTCTCGAAAGCCTACGTGTTAAAATTGATTATTATTACTATTCGACTTATTTTACCCAGCAAAAACCTCACCGAGTCTCCTGACTCTGTTTTTCAGGAGGGTCCTGCCAAGTTTTCGCAGTGTGGGGTGGGATTTGCGAACAACTAATCGCAGGTTGGCAAAACGCGTCAAACGCGGCGTCGAAATACGTCGCCGCGAATCGACGAGCAGATCGACGCACGAAAGTTTGAGTCTGCGGTCGACTGTGAGCAATGCAATTGCGCCGTGACCCGCAATCGGTTGCAGACATCCGCACCACCAAGCGGTACAGTTGCAGGCCACCGAGTCACCTGCAACTGAAGTTTAGTTGTAGGGGATTGCCTTGCGTGGACCCTGCTTCGGTGAGACTGCCAACAAGCCAAGAATTGGTTGAACGTTATTGCTAATGCGGGACAAAAGTTGTTATTTAGCAAGAAGCGTGCTATTAAACTGTGTTTAACAGGGCGGAAATTCTAAGTAGGGAGTTTTTCATCGTGAATGAAATTAGGGCCACTTCCTAAATGGCTAATGCCGTTATTAAATCTTCACATCGATTAGATTATCGCCATTTCGCATGAGCTTAATGGGGTATTCACATTAGCGCAACATTAATTTGATGTTATATTACAAAACGTGGTAGTTGGCCCGCTGGGTGATCGTTTTCGCCACCATGCCAAGGACATGGATTGTCGTAGCCACGTTTGCCAATGATAGAGTGACAACGTCAGAGGGGCAGGTGGTAGACCCAAGAAAACGTGGAAAAAAGTATATCGCCGTTGAAAATCCCAAACATTTGTAAACACAAAATCAAGAAGTAGCCGTATTAGCAGAACACCATACAACGTGAGAGGGAGTTTTGCTCTGCTGGTGTGGCATGTCTTATGTACGGTTACAACCGGTGCTTAATAACAGTCCAGAACACGCTGTTCGCTAAACAATATTTGGCACGCAACATCCGTCTTGTCAAACAACAGCGGGTACCACAACCAAATAATCGGAATATATGGTGCAATAGCGTAGCATTGTCGGGGATTACTATGGACGGCGCTGTTTGTACGGTTGAACTTCTTTCGCACCGTATGTAGCCAACCGCACTAATCGGAGGTTCGGAGGGAAGGACAACAAACAAAAACACAAAAAAGCAGTTCAAAAGGAATGACTTCACGCAGTAGCTTGTGCTCTGGTGGTTAGCGTCTTGCCCCGAACAGCTCCACTTCAGGCCAGCCGAGCAGCGTTCCAGAATATTTGTGTGCGTATATATATCGAGTGAGAAAATTAAGCGCTGGTTGCAAGCACACGTTAACTACAGAGCAGGCCTCAACATTCGCTGTCGTTAGTGCATCGCCGTGTTTAAAACACGCCACAGTGCAACAGACGGCGCCGCGACGTCTCATGCTGAGCTATCGGCGAACACAGTCGTAAGTACGTACTCACTCACGTAAGTCTGTTGAGCTTCTTTCGCGCCGTGCGTCGCCAAGCGCGCCGATCGGCGGTGGGAAATCCACCACGACCCTAACTCGAATGCAAAAGTGCCCTAATTGTGAGGCCACAATTTAAGAAATGCGCCAGCCAAGGTGGAATCAAAAGCTTCTATGCCATGAGGCCAGGAAATTGTAACATCGAGACTGCCTTCCCCTGCACAGCTAAACAGTCTGATTGAATTGCTCCTGTTCTCCGCGGTGGACGTGACACACACTCGGATGCGTTCCATTCCGTGGCTGCTGTTCAATTTACATTCTTGAAAGCGTGAGTGAGTACAAAAGATCCCCCACTTTACCATTTGCCGCGATATAAAAGCGTGGTAATGATGCGAATAGTCACAACGACGTATAATTGATTGCCCTTTGTCACTCCACTGTTGGATGAAGGCCTCCCCAAACCGCTTCAGTCATAGGGGTTGTTGAAGCAGACCTCTGATCGCTGCACAGTGCGGGTTGGTGAAAGGGATGAGAGTGGAGTCCATGGCTGGTGCATAGCGGTCCTCACCAAGTGCCGTAAATATGTCGAGAATATTTCCCGTAGCTAATTGCATCCTGCTGTATATAAATAAAAATCAATTACAGGTAAATAGCTCACTAAAATAATCCGTGGACTAACCTTGCGCAAAAATCCCCGAACAGAATTTAAACGATTACACGGGAATCTTAAAACCGCAGAGTTACACGAAAACATTCCGTCGTACGTAAACTCCCCCGCTACTTCAATTGTCCAGATTCTGCATTTCAAAACGAATCTCTGCGTCTGCCATCTGCTTGAAGTTGACCGTGGACGATCGGTCAATTGATTCATGTCGGTGGCAACGGTGTTAAGCTATGATCTTCGGAGTCCCCAGTTACTTTTTGGGAGGAGTGTTCACCCACACACACACACATTGAGGCCTCTTCTTCCACACGCCAGAGACTCCGGCACGCGGTTCTCCATTGCTCAGCCTCTCATCGTCCAAACGCGACGAGGTAGAGGCGGAAGAGGACGACGAGGAGAGAGGTGAGACGGGAGGAGGTTATATCATGCCGGCGAGCCACGGTGGAAGAAAGAGCCCCACCGTGCCCAGCAGACACACGACGATGAAGACCCAGAGGAAGATGCGGTCGATCACCATGGCCACGTACTTCCAGTCTTCCTTCACCTGGACGAGGAGACACGCACGCACGCACGCGCGAGTCGGCACGTGGCAGCATCACGTCGCATCCTTCAAACCCCCCCCCCCCCACCCACCCCAGCGCACCCACGATTGCGTACAGTGCAGAAGAAGTTCAATATACCGTACGTGCATATCAGAACTATTCCTGGGTCTCCCTCTTCACGCAAGACCGAGGGGGAGGCCCATCGCGGTTTCGGAGACGAAATTGGCAGGAATTTAACTCGGGTGAATTTCACTCGCAGCGCGTGAACACCACCATCACCGCTTACACACACCCCCCCCCCACCGCCCTTCACCAACCCGTACTGTCCAGCGTGGTGAAGTATGGTTAAAAATAAAACACGTGACTGACAAAGCTTGGGGAGTCATCATTCATCCATAGGTTGATTGACAATGGGCAGACGCATTCATGGGATGAGACTGGAGTCCAGGGCCGGTTCAGAATCACTCGGCACTGATTGTAGCCAAGGCCGGGGATCGAACTTAGGTGACCACGGGGTTCATAGCGCTTCTCACAGAGTGCTGTGAACATGCCGAGAAAATTTCCCGCAGCTAATTGCATCGCGCTGTAGGAAAAACCAACGTAGGAGCAAGGAAAAGGTTCGCGCACAGAAGGAGACCTGATGCAGGCAGTGATGAGAAGGAAACTGGCACCATTTGGACACAATTTGTAGGAGGATAATCAACAACGGGCAAATTTGAAAGTGTTGTTGTTCGGAAAAATGGAAGGAACCGGAAAGAGATGGAAGACCTCACAGAGAATGGATATATTATGTGGATATTTCGGTAAAGTCACGTAGATAGAAAAAAGAATCAAAGTGAATTTAAAAACAAACTACGACGTTTTGATCACAACACAAACGATCGTCATCCTGTCCTGCCCCCTTTTTCCCCTCCGGATGACGTTCGCTTGCGTTGTGATCGAAACGTCGTAATTTTTTATTGAATTTACTTTCATTTTTTCTATCGACGTGACTTCACCGAAAGATCCAAAGAAAATGAACTACCGCAGTCGCGCGAAAGTCACAAACGGAGAATGGATCTAGCGACGTAAGAGACCGGTGCCGGGAAGATGGGGCCACGGCTTGAGCAGAATTGGCACTCCAAGACAAGGAAAGTGGACGCGAATGCCGACATGTGCAGCGGACATCTGCGGGCTATCTGCCCCATAGATCGCGACCGATGATTGCTGATGAACACAAAAGCCATTCACATTCTGGGGACCACTCAAGGAAAACGCTTCGCTCGCTCGCCCGGCCATGCGCGCGACCGCCGCCCGGCTGACCCCCCACCACAACTAACCGAGAGGTGCGCGTCCTCGGCGCGCAGGTGGTTGGCGATGTACTGCACCCCCTGCACCGCCAGTACCAGGCTCGGGCGGGGGGGGCCGCGGCGGTCGCGGTGCCCGCGCTATCGGCGGCGGCTGTGAAGAATCCGCGGCTTCCTCCTCCTGCTCCTCCTCCACCTCCTCCTCCTCCTCCACCTCCTCCTTCTCATCCTGCTGCTTCTGCTGCTGTTGCTCCCCGCACGCGCAGCGGCAGGCGCAGCCGCCCGGCAACGGCGGCTCCGGCTTGCCGGCATCGCGCGTGCCCAGCTCGCACGGCGTCGCCCAGGGCAGCGCGCCCGCCGGCACGTCCCAGCAGCCACCACCGCCGTGCTCCAGCCGCTCCTCGAGCTCCCGTGCCACGTCGCGCTGCCGCTCGCGCTCGTGCGGCCGCTCGCCATCGCCGCGGGTCGTGCCCCACGTGCACACGGCGGTGGCCTCGACGCCCGGCCACGCGCAGCAGCGGGGGGGCGGCAGCGGGGGGCCGCCGCCTGCATCGTTCCCGCGGGGCGGCGGACGCTCGTCGCGGAAGCCGCTCGGCTGCTCCGGCAGGAGGTGATGGTTGAGGAAGTGGCGGTAGTGGTGGTGCGGCTGTTGCTGGAGGTGGTGCTGCTGCTGCTGCTGTTGGTGGTGGTGGTGCTGGTGGCGCGGCTTGTGGTGGTTGCGCTGCCCGCCGAGGGCGCACGGCAGGCGCGCGGCTCGGGCCAGTAGGAGCTCGGAGCGCCGCTGCTGCGGGGGCGGGCGGCGCATGACGAGCCAACGCGGCACGCGGTCGAGGAAGACGCGGCGCACCCAGCGCGGCATGGCGTGCGTGGCCGGCGAGCGGTGGTGCACGTTGAGCACGAACACCGTGATGACGATGGAGAGCGTCACGAAGATCATGGTAAAGAGGAGGTACTCGCCGATGAGCGGGATGACGAGCGACGTGGACGGGATGATCTCGGTGATGAGCAGCAGGAAGACGGTGAGCGACAGGAGCACGGAGATGCACAGGGTGATCTTCTCGCCGCAGTCCGAGGGCAGGTAGAAGACCAGCACGGTGAGGCACGAGATGAGCAGGCACGGGATGATGAGGTTGATGGTGTAGAAGAGCGGCAGGCGGCGGATGATGAACGAGTAGGTGATGTCGGGGTAGACCTGCGGACAGCAGTCGTACTTCTTGGTGTTGTACGTGCCCACGGCGTGGACGATGGCCCACTCGCCGCTCTCCCAGTAGTCCTTGAGGTCCACGTCCCTGGCCATGCTCACGAGGTCGATCTTGGCCTTGTCGTACGTCCACGAGCCGAACTTCATGGTGCAGTTCTGCTGGTCGAACGGGAAGAATGTGACGTCGATGCTGCAGGAGCTCTTGTAGATGGCGGGCGGCTTCCAGCGCACACGCCCCGTGTGAAAGAGGTGCGCCTTGGTCATGTGGGTCACGGCGAAGTCTCCGTCCGCGCTGGCCGGCGCGCGTGCACACAAAGACAAAGGTTCGCCCGTGTAGCCTCGACGGACTGCTGGGGCAAGTGCTGTTTGCGAGCGGCGCCTATGAAGGGCGAACACCGCGCGCGGAGGGGCTGGCGAGGGATCACGCCACGCCGTCGCGTGACATGACTTGGGGGCCCTCGTCATGGTGCTATAAGGAAGAGTCGTTGCCCGAAACGTTACTGATTATAAATATTGTTCCCTTTTACGGCCTACAGTGTTATTGATGAATGTGTATAATTTTCTTTTTGTTAAATATCCATCGAGCTTTAGGCATGGGTGTTGGTAAAACATTCAAGGGGAGGAATTTAACATTCAAAGAGGATGCTCCCAAACCCATAACAGTCCCAGGCCCACATCAAGCTGAATCCGGTCCTGTCACCACGACACACAAAGACAAAGATCCCCCCTATGGCCTTAACATACTTTTGGGGCCAGTGCTGTTAGCGAGTAGCACCTTCAACAACCCTCTCTGGCACTCATTTGAGGCTGAGTCACCACCGCACACAAAGACAAACGTCCCGCGTATAGCCTTAACAGGCTGTTGGGGCAAGTGCTGTTTTACTAGTACCTATGAAGGTCGGCATGGCACACGAAGGGGCGGGGGGGGGTGGGTGGCCAGCACCACGCCCAGGCCACCTTTGTCTCCCGAGTGCCGATGTTCACACACCGCACCGGGTGCTCATTTGACGCTGAGTCGACAAAGGGGAGGCCCGGGACCGGTCCAGATATTCCTCACTGGTATTGAACCGTGAGCGGGAATCGAACTCGTAGCGCGAGCGCGCTAACCGCGGCGCATCCGCTCACCACCCCAGCCCACCACGTGCACGCACGTGGGCATGTCTCGGCACGTACTTGTTGTAGAGGACGATGTCGGGGACCCATATGAGCTCGGAGGGCACGCGGATGGACGTGACGTTTTCGTACTCGGCGGGGTCCCACTGGAGCTTGTAGTCATCCCACTCCTGCAGGGACAGCGCCGCGGCTCATGAGGTTTGTGCCGACGGGACCGTTTCGTCAAGAGGCCTGGCCAGCCACCTACCAGCGCCGCCGCCGTCGTCACCATCACCGTCGTGATTCATATTCTTTGATGATGACTGCTTGTGTTGCAGTCGAAACGTCGTGAGGATTTTATTGTTTAATATATATTTTATTATTTTATTGTTTCCCTTCAACGTGACTTTAGCGAAAGAACCAAGAATATAACCATCACCGTCGTCAACGAACGCCGACGCTCACAAATGTCACGTGAAATATTTAACCCGATCGTGTTCTCGGCTGTGCAATGGTTGGCTGGGCTTGCAATCCAGAGGTGGATTTCTATTCGTGCAAGTTTCTTAAATCCCCTCCCCACCTTTACCTCCCCCCACTCCCCCCCCCCAATAGTGGACATGGGTTCTCCCCACCCCCAGCCCACCCAATAGTGGACATGGGTTCACCACAGTTAGTTGACCGGCAAGTCGCACATGGTGGGGTAAAGTCCAAGACATCTGGCCAGTGTCAAAGAGTAGCCCAAATATCACTCGAGATGGAGTTTCCTCGAGTGGAGGCCCTACCGCCAGCAGTGGCTTGAGCGAGCAATTGCAGGGCTGCCCCTTTGCTTATCTCAATTTTGCCAGCGTAGTTTTATTCGTGATAATTTGCCAATTGTAAAATTACAAATCTCTGTAGCTCAAATGAGAAATGGGATGGTGCTCATCACTGACGGTAACCTTGAGCCAGTGGTGGAAATTCCACATTCCTCCTGACGGGAGCCGGTCTCTCTACATACATCAACCGCTGTTGTTGCAGAGTGCACAGTTAGTAGTCAACTCGAGACATTCTTTCACGAAAACAAAGCCAGCCGGTGTGAATGTAACGTTAAAATGCGAGTGTCAGAACAATAGTCAGTATTCATCGCTATCAATGCTACGATTTTGGCGTGACATTTTTTCTTGCAAGAATCACGGTTTGTTATTATTATTATTATTATTTTTTAATGAACGGAAAGGTCACGGAATCAGGCGCCACAGTTCCCATTACTCGCGATGCGTGACATTCACGATGGAAAATAATGGACAGAGCCTAACTTTAGTGTGCGCCTACAGAGAGACATTACCAAGACTTCATGGAATTTATTCAAATTCACGATTTATGGGACCACGATGACCTCTGTACAAATAATCGTCACAACAGACATATCCCGTTATGTGTTTTCCACCACCTGTGTGCGAGATGAATGCCATACCTGTTTTAACCACACATTTGTGGTCATCATCTGATTCTTTTCATCCTGAAAAACAACAACAGGACAAACTGCCTTTGAATGCGGAGTATTTGGTCATGCAGCTGCTACTGCTCTGGCAGCGGTGTACAAGCACAATTAATAATGAAACACAACACGCTCATCAACACGACTGCATAAAAATAAAATATATATTATACAATCAGCGACATGTCAGCAAAATGATCCTCGCTCGCCAGAGTGAAGAATGGCCATGGCGCTTTGGAGAAGGGCCATTGCCTGAAACGTCCCCGATTACATCTCTTTTTTTAATCTGAAGGCATCGTTGTTGACGTGTGGGTTGAGTTGTGTTAAATACAGTCACACAGATGTGTACGGAACTCTGCGTAACGCACGGGCCAGCCAAAACGTTGAATGCACCACGTTATTCTAATGTAACAAAAAATAACAAGAAGAGACATTTTTTTGTTAGAATTTGGCGTATAAAAAAAAAAACCTAAATATTTCACGATCCCATGAGAATAACGTGACAAAGGAGCCCTTTAAGAGTCGAATGGTTGCCCAACCCCTGTTCTAAGATAAGGGGGGGGGGATAATCCAAATCGGATGTGCTCTGCGCGAACATTGGCCTCGGATCGCTTTCAAAGCCTTCCCCGACTTTGTTCGAACGCCGAGTCGACAGGGTCCGCCCGCACCAGCCGCGCTCTGTGAGGAGCGAGCGTGGTGGCTCGCCTGTGATCTGGCGTGCAGGAAGGGCGATGCCACGGCCGTAATCACGGAGACAACGGACGCGTTTCAGAGCGTCTGACTGCGATAAATGCCCACGTGATAAGGCGCTTCGCAGGGCGTCCATAAATGACGTCACGCGATTTTGGTGGACGATTTTTAACCCCCCCCTCCCCCCCCTTCGTCACACGGCGTCACAAAAAGTCAGACCCCCCCCCCCTCAAATATGACGTCACAAAGCTCTGCCCCCCCCCAAATAAATAATGCTTCAAATCGCTTTAAACTATTGTTATTGTAGTGCGTATTTAATGTGGCGCTGCACTCTGATGTAGGAGAAAACACTAATTAAAACGTCTATTTAATTAAGTAGAACGTGTTGTCTATATTTATTTAAAGTTGCGCATTTTGATGTGACGTCACATTTCTCAAACCCCCCTCGTCACAAATGTCTGACCCCTCCCCCTAGGTGCGTGACGTCATTTATGGACGGCCCCGATGTTGGTTGCTCAGTGGGCCCTAACTGGTAAAATACAAAGTTCTACTTATATCATCATCGACCTCAATCAATAAGTCGATCTTTATGTTACGTGCCAATATCGCCCTGAAAAAAGTGGGCAGCAGTGCGCATTACAACGGAGCGGAGCAAACAGGAATGAGAAGGGAAACGCATCACGCCTTCGGCGGCTAACACCAATTGAGCAGAGTAAATTGCAACCGTGCGCAACGAATCGCAAAAGAAAGGTAATAATTTAACATGTTTTTATTTTATTTTATGGGATGGCGAGCCTGAATTACGTGTCTTGCACAGACCGCGGTGTTGAAACCTGCTCACACTCTGGCCGTGTTGCAAGAGCGCAACAACAGCAGCAGCGCGTGCAATGCGCGTTGTGCCGAACTTGTCAGCGGAGGCACGGGGTGACGTGCAGAGCGACAGTGTGACGAGCCACCCGCTCATCTCAACACAATTAAAAAAAGGGCACCCCCAGAGCCAGCTGTCGCTGCGCAGCACTAAATGACTCAGCGCCTGGCCTGTCAGCGGGCATTTGTCTGTCAATAGAGGGGCAATAAGTGATGCTGCTGCTGTGAAATCCCAATTGGGTGATCCGTTTCCAATGACTTCAGGGGATCTTTAACGCCCACTGTGAAGCGGACGGCTCTAAATTATTGCTTTTAAAACAGCCGCATTGATAACCAGGGCGGCCTGACGGAATCGAACTGCAAACCTCTGCGTTAAGGCCCCAGCCACTCATAGCTGCACTATCAGAGACGTAAAGAGATAATTAAAAAAAACATAATCATATTCTTGGTTATTTTGGTAAAGTCACGTAGAAGAAAAAAACAATAAAATAATAAAACTATAAAACAATAATCATCATCATCATCAGCCATGTGTTAATCCACTGCTGGATGAAGGCCTCCCCAAAGCTGCTGCTGCTGCTGCCACCTCGCCCGATTCCTCCGATGCGCACGCATCGATTCCATCGCACCATCTCCCCTCGGGGGACGTGTTCTCCATCTCTCGGGCCATTCGTCCATTGGCTGTCACTGTTGTGTGAAGAACGTTTCGCTTTTGACCGGACTTTGTGTAATCTGACCAGCAACTCTGGCACAACAAAATTCGGACTTTTGCCCCAAGACTTGCCTCCAAGACTCGAGTCGGCACTAGGTGGCGACTTTTGCGTGATGGTATTCTATTCTTGGTTCTTTCGGTAAAAGTCACGTAGATAGGAAATAAAAATAATAATAAACTGAAAATTAATCAATTGAAAATAATAAGAGCAAAAAAACCCACGACGTTTCGATCGCAGCACAAGCGGTCTTCATCAGGCGGAGATAAAAGAGGTAGTGTTGATTGTATTGCTCGCTGGAACGGCTTTTGACTGAGGGTTTCCCCGACAAACTGGGATGCTTTTTAAGACAAAGCAGGAGAATTAACGCAGATGATTAATAAAGAAATGTTGCTGGGCTCATCACGGGGTTTCCAATTCGATCTCACGGTGTGGCAGCTGAAACAATGGCGCACGTTGCTTGAATCCCTGAAATCTATGTCCACTCAGTAAAGTCAATAGGTTTGCGATGTTCAGTTTAACACCTAAGTTTTCGCCACCAATATTATCCACAATGAAGGTGTTTTAATTATATCACGTGAATATAAATGCGTCGTTAAACCGGCCACCACCCGACACAGCCAATTAGTAATGTTTGTCACGTAAGCCCACCGGTGTATTGGAGAGTAAATCAAAATTTACAATTCGAGTACGACGTTTCACTGGTTATTGCGACCAGCTTCGTCTGGCCAGCATGGAAGAGTAGACCAAATTACCTCTTCGATGGGCTCTCCAGAGTTCCCGCTGGTGGAGACCCATCTGGTAGCGGCAGCTTTGAACAAGCAATTGCAGTGATGCGCCTTTATGTTTATTTATTTGTAATTGAGCGACTTCCGCGACACGTCGTGTAGAGGGTACTCTCCTTTATTTCACAATCTGGCACAGCACAGGCTAACGTTATATTCTCCCTCTTCCGAGTACACACTTTGGATATTAGCGTTGTTACAGACTCCACACACGGCAGGGCTCCGCCCGTCCACTCCCGGCCTCGCCGTTGGCTGACAGCGTGCCGGTAAAGGGCGGTGGAACTCCGCAGGAGATCCGCCACGTGGCCGAACGACGGAGAGAGATGACAGCGAGCTCTGACGCAGTGCGGACCTAACACTCCCCACACCGACGCCGAGTCCTCCTACACTTATATTGCCGCAGGCGTGGCTAGGCTCCGCCTCCGGCCACGCCCTCTCGTGGAACCTTCTAGCCGGTTCTCGGAGTTTCTCGGCCAGCCCCGCCCTTCACATGTGGCCCAGATACCTCTCCCTTGGGGATTGGATAATGTTTATAGTGGTGCCCGTACCCGTGCTTCCCTTTTCCAACCAGTAGATGTCACTATCTCATTACATATTTAAAAACAACTTTAACTAAAAACGTTGACCCGAGTAATGTTTGCTGAAACTGAATTGTTTCCTTTGAACGGCAACTACTGCCGCTGTGTGCTTGATGTTACCAGACAGCAGTCCTGATTACAACTGATTGGTTGGAATATGTCAGCTGCGGTCATTAACCTCGACTTAGGACTCACTTTGCAATTCGACTGAGGACTTATACATCGTCACGGATAGATGTATTCAACTAGATATAAATTATGTATATATGCTTTGTTATTATTTTCTGTCCGAGGGAATTCTCTCACGTTTTTATCCAGATTAATGACACTTACTTAAACAAGTGATTGGTGAACTGTGGTCGAACCGTATGACTGATGTAACAAAAATAAACTGAACACTCACCACAATCCCAGTAAAAATGCGAACGTCGTTACCAACGCTGGTGCGTGGTTCGAACCGTTTACTGGGTTCGTTATGTATCAGGAATATTTGCCCTCGGAATAAAAATAATATCCCCTTATAACAGAGATTTCCCAAAAACATTGCCTTTAATATCTATATCCTCCCCTGTAGGATAGTGCTGTTGATGCATGTGTAGCGAGCTTTTGCTATGTGTACTTGTGCCCCTCCTCGGTATCACACAAAAAAAACGATTCTTTGTTGTAATTTCTACGACTCGATGCAGCACGGGGAGGCCTTCATCCAGCAGTGGATTGACAAGGAGGCTGAACACTTTCACAAAATACATTCATTGGAAACCCGGCAAAAAAAAACGGCAAACGGTTCATTACGTGTCTCTTTTGCAATAGGGGGAACATGGGATCGAATCAAATCTCATCTTATCAATGATCTCGTCCTCATCAATCAATCTACGGGCCCTGTCCAAATTGACGCAATCGCTAGGTGGGATATGGATGCCCCTGTTGGTTGTGTACGCTGCGGTAATGGGAGCTGGGAGGCGTGAGCTGTGAATGAAAATAAGTCGATGCGAATGTTAAGTCAGAACACTGCACATGGTTGGGCGGGTTTGAGCATTATCATCCTGTTTCGCAATGGATTGATGTCTTGCGAGGTCGCTACAACGGGAGACGCGATAAATCCTGCAAGTTCAAGGCTTACTGACCTCATTCATACTTCACTGTTGAGCCTCGACATCTATGAGAGCGTGTTATCGACAAGACGTTCCCCTGCGCTCTGATTCTGAAGGATTTCACACTTGATTACTGATAGCGCGCAAGCATACATCTAAAATGCGCCTGCGATAAATCACCAATTCAGCCGTCACACGCACACACACACACACCCGTGGGCCCAAGGAAACACGTGTCTTGCCGAACGCGTCGCGTTCAAATTAACGTGATAGATATTGAACGGTGTATTTCTCAATCCACTGCTGGATGATAGGTGTCCCCATGCCGTGGGGCTGTCCGATCACACGATCACCTATGCACGCTTGTCAGTGCGGGTTGGTGATAGGAAGTGGGGTGGGAAGGTCTTGCCACTGATGTTAGCCGTGGTCAAGAATCAATCTCAAGTCACCGCCGCTCCCTGCTCGCGACATTTGCAATTGCAAAGCTTTTGATGAAGGTTACCTGGCATAAGCACAACTATTCTGTTAAATAAACTCAACAAATGCATCAGTAACACAGACGCAAACGAAGACAAACATACAAAGACCCACACACACAAGCACACACATACCCAAACACACACATACCCAAACACACAAAATACACGCATGTTTAATCGTACATACTCTCCCCACACAGACAATTGGTGTCATCGATAGACACAAACCCCCCCCCCCCCACATTGCCTTTTAATAGACTGTTAGCGAGAACCTATTAAGGCTGGCATGGCTCGCGATAGACACACACAAACAACATACAATACGCTCATGTATTGTATGTTGAATGTTTTCGCACCGTACATACTTACATACGTCGTCAGCATCATGCACTATCACGCATTCGCGCAAATTAATTCTCGCAAAAAAATCACACTCACATTATTCTATATATTGTATTGTTTTAAGGCAATGGACAGCTACAAGCATGAAGGCTGCAGAACTTCTACACATGGGCCAAAGTGACGGGGGGGGGGGGGGTCCGGCCGACACGCGCATTGACATCCCTAGCACGATAATAAAGAATCATTGCAGTCACGAAAGCTTTAAATCGAAATTTAACCGCCTCTACGGGGAGGGATTCCACACATCCTTAAGATCATTCACTCCAGCGCTGTCCTACCAGACAGTCTCGTCCCTTCACCTGATGAAGGCCGCTTGTGTTGTGGCCGAAACGTCGTGAGAATATTATTATTTTATTCTCATTCTACGTGACTTTACCGAAAGAACCAAAGAAGATGAATCATTGCAGTCACGAAAGCTTTAAATCGAAAGATAATAAAGAAATTCGTGGTCCGCCAGGAAGTGTCTAACTGTGTTGTTGGCCTGACTGGATGTGCTTCACATGTTTTTTCAGGTTTGTTGAATTCTCGTCTCTCATCTTTTTGTTGTATTTACCTCCGTGATTTGTTCTTGACACCTGATGAAGATCGCTTGCGTTGTGATCGAAACGTCGTGATTGTTTTTTTTTTGTTTTAATATAATTTTATTGTATTTCTACATACGTGACATTACCGAAAAAAACAATGAGTAGTTATCCCTAGCACGCTTGGCGACATCGATGACACGACGATAAGCCGTCGTTGCTTCCACTCGATGCCACCGCTCACACAGCTTCGGCCACGGAGCGACACCGACGCACGGCGCTCAACTCTCGTGGCTCCGCACCGCTGTCGCCATGGCTGCCGCTTTCGGCGCGCTCCACCAAGGTGGACATCCCGCATCACAAAACGAGCGTGGTGCCACCTCCGCAAACAATTTTGCTCTTCCCCTCGGTATGAGAAGAGGAGCCTCCGTGGCACTTGGCACCGAGCTAAAAGTCACCCTTGCGGGTGATTGGCTGCAATTATCCTTACAGGTGATTGGCTGCATGCAATCAGCCCCACTCCACCCCTTCCCCGCCCCCCCCCCCTCCCCCTTGCAGGTGATTGGCTGCACACTTGCAGTTGATTGGCTGGTGAAGCAGAAATGATGACTCAATCCCTAGCAACCACTGTCACGCTCCCAGCATTGCTATCTGTGAGGATCCGCGTGGATACTTGATCTTTTGACATAAGCCATTTCAGATCCTACAACAATAGTTGCATGTTGAATTTTGCATGCTTTATCTGTACACGGGACCCTGGTTTTGTGCACACACACACACACGCGTCTGTGTCAGATTATAAGATGCACTCCTACCGTTTTCTTTAAAATACAGGGGAGGGACTGCGGAAAATAACCACGGTACACATAGCCCAAGGTCAAGGTTACTGCAGTAAAATCTAGATGGGCTTCCCCTAGGTCGACTCAGCCCTAAATGGGTACCTGGTGTGGTGTGTAAACATCAACACTGGGGAAACTAAGGCGGCCGGCTTGTTGTGGCCACACCATCCCCCTCGTGCAACTGTGTCACAATATGAATAGGTGCTCGCAAACATGATCGCTTGTCCCACCAATCTAGAAAAATATGCGTGCGTGCATGTGCGAGTGTGATGCTCGCAACAATAAGCGGAGCGCTGGGCGGCTAAAATGCAGCACGTTGGCACGGTAGGGGGCACAGGTGTGGTGCATCTACCAGTCATCTCAGTCAGTCAACCCAACGCACCGGGATCTGTCCCGTGACCTCCTGCCGGCGAGCCTTCGATAGCCTCGGAGTGCACCTGGCGTTGGCACAGAGCCGCCGTGGCGACGTCACCGCCACTTAGTGGCGAATGGCGGCCGCTGCCGTTGTTCCCGTTGTCGTTGTCAATGTGCAAAGACGGTTTGACACACGTCTACTTGAGATGGCACTTTAATGAAGACGCGTTCACTTGACATCAGGCGGAGACCCCCACTGCAACAGCCCCGAGTCTCCCGCGCATCTCCTCCTTATATACCAACACGAGGCCACGCCCCCCCCCCACCCCTTCTCGATCATTCTCGCTGACTCTGGACGCTCCCTCTACCGGCAGACCCTACCGTCACCTGACCACGCTGCCTTCTCGAACATTCCCCTAGCAACCAGTCCCTTCACACTCACAACTGATACCCCTGTCATTGCCTCCCGTGGCCGCTAGTCCCCTTGCACCGCATGCAGGCTCTATCGCCATGACAAATGTACTCACCACATCGATGAGCTGAGCGATGGACAGGCCGAAGGTGATGCTCACGATGTCGGTGATGTTGGGCACGGGTCGCGACCAGCGGCTGTAGCCCGCGAAGAGCACCCGAAACAGACGGTCCTCGGCCAGGGAACGCTGACGACTCAGTCCGCACGCTGCACAAAGATAAAGATGCACCGCCATGTGGCATTCACGGACCGTCGGGGCAAGTGCCGTTGAGCAAGCGCCGATGAATACCGGCACAGCGCACGAGGGAACGGTGTGGGCAACAATCACGCCCTGACTGCCTTTGTCTCCTCAGCCACAAAAACAGGTATTTGAGGCTGAGTCGACCCTGGGGAAGACGGCAGGACTGTTACAGGGATTCGTTGCCGATGTTGACTGTGAGCGCGAATCGAACTTGGTTTTGCCGGGTCCTTAGCAGAGTATGCTAACCACTAGACCACCGCTTTGTAGTATTAATAGTTCCTAACTTCGTGCACGGCTCACTGAGATCCCTGGATGGATTGCGCCTTATGAATGTAAATTATTATTCCGACACGTAACGCCACACGTGCGAAGGTCCCCTTCCCATATTTGTTACACATCGCATTAGCCACAACTGCCTTCTGGGAGTGCGTAATTTCAGCAGCATTGGTGCACCCATCACAATAAAACTTTGGGAATGGTTTCGACATTCAGAGTCTCATCTCGCGTTGAAACAATGCTGCTGAAATTACGCACTCACATCAGGCTGTGTTAGGCTGATGGGATGTGTAAAAAAAGAGCGTTTTTTTTTACGTGGAGAGATTTTCAAAAGAAGACATTCTCCTCAATGACGCTCAATGAAGTCTTGTGTTTTGCCTTTGCTTTGATGATGTGGCACGCGGCGCCCAGGTCTGCCAAGTCTTGTAAAAAATAACGAGGCATAGCTTGGAAATAAGAAAGAAAGAGCATATCTCACAATACCATACGTCTAGAAGTGGGAAGACCTACATGTAAATGCATTATCTTGAGTGGTGTATTATTGCACAACTGACACAAAAGGCACTTTAAAAGTCCCGTGGAAGACTTGCATATTTCCCAGGACATCTACCTCAACAAGAGGACGATCCTGGGAAACTCAGGACAGGTGGCGACCCTACTAAAGGCACCACCAGGTAGTGGAATGTGTGTGTGTGTATGTGTGTTGAACTTCTTAAAGCATCACCGTACGTAACAAACTGTGCTAATCGGAGGTGCAGGAAGGAGGACAACTAACGAACACGCAAAAAAAGCAGTTGCTTGCATCTCGTGGTGGCGCGAGATGCAAGCAAACCAAGCAAAAGCTTAGGTCCCCAAATTACTCAAAGTCTCTGTAGATTCATAAAAAATATATATACATGAGGGGCCACCAACAATGGGCTAAAATTCAAAGCTTGAATAAGCGTAACATGTTTTTTTCTTCTTCTCGCAACACTAATAACAGGATTGGATTGCACCGAGTCTATTAACGTCAATTATCTCACACGGCTGCGTGATGCAATTAAGTTAGGCAACTGGTCCAGTGGTCACGCAAGGCACGGGACCGATGGGGCTTTAATCCGCATCGCGGCAGTGGCGGCAGACATCTGGTGGCGTGACTGAGGTCAGCACCCGTCTCTCTCTCTCTCTCTCGTGTCCCTCACCTCTCTCTCTCTCTCTAGTCTCACTTTATCCCTCCTCTCTTCTCATTGAACATATCTTAATCGTGCATCTCTGCTTATTGCGTATCTCCTGCCTCTCGTCTAAGCCTCATATGTAAACACATTTCTCCCGCCTTCGTCTTGAAATACTTCTCTCATGTCTTATAGGGTGCCACGGTGGTGAGATGTTGACTACCTCGCCTGGTATGGAGGAGGTCGTGGGTTCGACCTTGACGCCTGCTGTATATTGGTAGGTTTGCATGTCTCTCTCCCCGCGGTCGCGTGGATTATTCTCCGGATCCTCTGGTTTTTGTTCTCTACATTTAGAATCAACATGCGTTTAGAGTGTTGGTTGCTATGAATTCCCACGTGATAAGCCACCTTCGTTGAGCTATAATTTGTGGCCAGGTCGCTTCTGAAAAATAGCGTTTTGCTCAGTGGACCTTATCTGGTAAAATAAAAATTGTTTATAGTGTAGAGTACGCATCCTGAACACACATTCTCACTTGTATCTCCGACATACTCATCTTAATACATGTCTCTGCTGTCTATTCTACAGATTACTCGTCCTATCTTAATGCATGACTCCTGTCTTTTATCGTTCTTCTTTATGTCTGTTTACGCGTGGCATTACGTGTCTGCTATGTGTCAATCATCACCCTTGGACACCCTGGCAAAATTTGAGATGTGTAATCTCAAGGGATTTTTTTGTTCCAGGTTAAATATTTTAATAACATTGTTTTTCATCGCTGTTTTTCCTTTCTCATCTGAGTGCATCTCTCCGACCACCTATTTCAATCGCGACTGAACGGATCTTTATCGTCTCACACGGATGCATATCTACCTGTTCATCCATCTCTTTCCCACCTTTCCCATCTCAACGCGTCTTATTTTCTACCCAGATCTATCACTCGTTTCTCTTAGCCCATCTCAATGGGTATCCCACCGTCGTATTCTCACTCTGTCTGAATATCTATAAACTCGTCAAAAAAAGCTTCTTATTGTACCAGATAAGGCCCACGGAGCTACGCAGCTCTTTTTCACGAGCGATCTGGTCACAAATAATTGCTCAACAAAGTGGCCTGCCACATGGTAAATGTATAGCGGCCAAATAATCTGCACGCGTGTTTCTAAATGCGTAGGGAAAACCCCGGAGGACCCGGAGAAAAATCCACGCGATTATGGGAAGAACGTGAAAACTTCAAATATACGGCAGGTGTCAGGATCGGGATCGAACCCATGAGCGCCTGTAGACCAGGCGAAGTAGTTAACATCTCGCCACTGCTGCGACCGAACCATCGCAACCACTGTGGCAGCTGCCTTCGTTTCTACATTGTCCAAATAAAGGAAAAACAAACGATGTCCATTATTGTGCTAGACATTTCTATGTGTGCGGCAAATCGGTAACCGGTTAAAACCGGAGTTTCCCCCCCCCCCCCCGATTTAAACAACGCCAATACAAACGAATGCGTGTTGCACTGTATAGAAATGCGTATGCTCTCCTAGGTTGACTCAGCCTTAAAGAAACATTGTGCGCCTGGTGTGGGAGACAAAGGCGGTCCGACCGTCGTGTTGGCCATCCCACCCCCCCCCCCCTCGTGTGCAGTTGCGGCCTTGATAGGTGCTCGCTGATTAGCAAGTGCCCCAACAGTCTGCAATACTACACAGTGGATATTCGTCTGCATGTGTGTATGCGGGTGCGAGTGTACTACGTATTTGAATGAATGGACACTCATTTATACATGTGCATGCATGGTATGTAAGTGTATGATCCATGTACACAGGGCTCTGTAGCCATCTATTATCTAAAGTACACATGCCTCGTATATGAGTGATTATGATATAACGCGTGTGTTGTATGCGCTCCAGCCTTAACAGGCACTCGCTTATCTGTATACTGTTGGGGCACTTTCCCCAAAAGTCCGTAAGATTACACGGTGGATATTCGTCTTTATATGTGTACGCGGGTGTGAATGGATGAATGGACGCTCATTTGAATGAACAGACGGATTCGTGTAAGTGTGTGATTCTATGCACAGAAGTGCATTTAACGTATTTGGCACGCATTTTGCTCTGTACATGAATGTGAGGTTGAGCAACACACACACACACACGTGTCGTCTGTTCGCGTTTGCAACTTACACGTCGCAAGCAATGCGGTCCCACACAGCAGCATGGCCAGCATGCCTTCCTCGCTCCTCATTCCGACAGCCCCCCCCCCCCCCGCCACACTTTTAGAATGTCATGAGTTACATTCCCCGGACCCGGCCGAAACCCACACGCCGACGCTGGTTGCAAAGCGGGCTGGTCAAGAGGCCGCGTCGAGCAGAAGGTCCGGAGTTCTCCCGGTCACCACGACGTGGAGATGACACGCGTCCTGGGGGAGGCGGCCGAGAGGAGGAGAGGGGTTGTCCCAGCGAAGATGGGTAGGCAAGGCTTCTGTGACTTTATGGCTACCCTCGCAGAATCCGCTCTGCCCTTGTCGATCGCAGCCTTGCCCCTTGTTGCCCTCCGCGCCCGTGATCTCCCGGCAAAGAATAGCGCGGGCTGACTTGACCCCGTCTTGAGAATCTCTTGCAATCGCGTTGACTCGAATGGCATTGAACAAATTCGAGCTCGTTAAGAGTGCCGCTCGTGCGAATACCAAACCGATTATTGTGATCACGGTGCCGTTTGCGGTGGTGGTGGTGGTGGTGGTGGTGATGACGACGATGGCTGATTAACCATCGTCCTAATGATAAAGTCGCTGATGATAATTACGGTAATGAAGATGCTGCTGGTTGGTGGTGGTGATGATGATTAGATTTAGCAGCAGCAGCAGCAACAACATCAGCATTTGGATTACACGACCACAGCCACACTCGCTGTGCGTAAATTGCGCAATATCGGCAGCATCGTCTCTGCGAGAATGAGGAGTGTGAGTGTGTGTGGATGGGTGCACGTGTCTGCTTAAGGGAGGGAGGTCGAGGTGGGGGCGAGTGGGGTGTGTGGAGGAGGAGGAGGAGGGGCTGAGTGGAGCTGCGTGCATGGTTCGCCGCTCTGAAGTTCGCACACGCACAGCGCACGTGTACACACCGAGACAGACGCAAGCACGCACGCACGCATGTACATATACGCATACATGTACAGTAACACAGATATTTACGCGCATACTGTGGAACACATGCGCATGGTTCAATGCATGTACGCATAAATGCATAAATGCATGAATACAAAACAAACAAAGACAAATATCCCCCGTATAGCCTGGAACAGACTGTTCGGGCAAGTGCTGTTAGCGTGCACCTATGAAGGCCGGCACGGCACACGAGGGGGTGGGTAGCCAACGCCACGCCCGATCGCCTTTGTCTCCCTCGTGGCGATATTTACACATCGCACCAGGTACTCATTTGAGGCTGGGTCAATCTAGGGGAGGCCCAGGACCGTTTCAGATAATCGTAACTGGTGTTGGTCGTGAGCGGGAATTGAACTCGGGTCGCCAGGTTCGTAGCGCAGCGCGCGAACAGCTCTGCTACCGCTCCCTCCAACATGCATACATACATACAAACACGCACGTACACACGTGTACGTACACGGATATGCTGTTTGCATGCATACATACATTCACGCAATCGTGACAGCGTACACAAATAGACCACGTGTGTACCACGTATGGATGTAATGTATTACTGGCTGCGATTAAAGCCCCGTGGAGTTCATATCCGCAGCACCGGGGCAATATGAAACGACAACAGCAATCCCGTGGCATGACATTTTATGCTGCATTTGAAATTTGTTTGAACGTGAGATGATGCTTGATAACAACAATGCGCGGTTTTTAGCAACAATATCATCACGCCGCACTCTCCTGCCTTCCATGGTTTGCGTTTTCTTCAAAGAGGGACGCATGAATGGAATCAGGTGGCCCGGTGGCTCAGAGGGCAGTAGAGCACTGAGCCAGCGTTGTTGATGTGGCCAAAAACCACGCCCGGCCGCCTTTGTCTCTCCAGTGCCACCGTTTGAGGCTGAGTCGAGTCTATCTCGGATCAGATATGTGCCACTGATATGTTGGCCGCGTGATTCGAATTCGGGTCGGCGGATTCGTAGCGGAGTGCGCGAACCACTCCGCCAACCGCTCCGTTCGCTCTCAGACAAGGACAGGGATCACCCATGTAACCTTGTAACAGACTGCTCGGCACATATAAAGGGGTGGGTGGCCAGCACTACGCACTGCCGCCTTTGTCTCCCTAGTGGCGACATTTACCTCTGTGGCCTCTCTATATACTATGAAGGACCATTGCCTGAAACGTCACCTGTAATATACTTTTCCTTGTCGAGGCAGCGTTAATTTCTAGTGTTGAGTTTTTTTTAATTGAAGCTGATTAATCCGATGAGCTATGAAGCCTTTCTTATTCACATGTGTCGAACCCAAGCTGGTGGAACATTCCAGAGGAAAACCACGGTATATATATATATTGCCACTGCAATGCTACATAGTCATGCGGTGTTGGCTACACACGCCTGGAATCCAGCACTGTGGAGGCAGTAGCGAGGGTTGATGGATCGCTCAATTACCGTGCAAACTCGCTTCCCGTGGGTGTCGAGAAAGGTGCAATAATCTGGCTTGCCAGGAGACGGCGGTAGAGCGAAATGTAAACGAAACTCCATCTGTGTCCATTTGTACGGGGACAGAATGTAGCCCCCTCGTGCACGTGGGCTGACTGCGAGTGCTCCGGGTTCCTCCCACTTGTAAACACTCATTCGTTGGTGCGATAACATCTGAATATATAAAGGACCGCAGAGCTTTGGCAATTGTTGCTCTAAGTTCACCCGAGCACCTTCCTGCTTGTCTCTGGCTCATTGCATCTCTCTGTCGGTATCTGCGCTCAATGGTGAGTGAATACTGTGCGTGTTACAAGTTTAAATTATTGTATACTGGTCTTAATCCAGCAGTACAACTTTAGACGGCTATGCCCAGTGACACCCAAACAACCACCGGCCCAAACATTTACGGGGGCCGAATTATGAAAAGATTGGGCTTTTATATTTTTTTTCTTCTTGGATGAATATATTTCATATTTTATTGGAGTAACAGATCGGGCTAAAAATGTGCCAAATATCTTTCTCGCCCGTTTAGAACATCATTCAAATTGTATCTAGGTCACTAAATCGTGATCATCTACAGGGTGGCCACGGAGCTTCTTTAGGATGAACAGATCTGGGTGCTGCTCCCCAGTCGCAGCCCACGGCTCGATCCCTGCCCACGTTCTCCTTGACAGATTCTTCCGAGCAGATGGTGGCTGCATACTGTGGAAGAGCAGTTCTGCACGGCTGTTTTGAGTTGCTCACTATTTGTCAATCTTAAGCGTCAGATATTCTCCTTGATAATTCCCCAAAAGGCAATTCACCAAAGGGAATTATTACGACATGTTGCGGTTAAATTTTGATTTAAAGCTTTCGTGACTGCAGTAATTCATATTCTTAGCTCTTTCGGTAAAGTCACGTTGAAGGGAAACAATAAAATAAAAAGTATATATTTAATGTATTTAATATATTTTATTATTTTATTGTTTCCCTTCAACGTGACTTTACCGAAAGAGCTAAGAATATGTTGCGGTTGTCAGGTCTGAGCTTCGGGGCAGCCACATCAGATGAGATCCTCTCCAAATCCATCGTCCACTGAATTCCTGATTCAAATAATTCCCGAATCGCGAAGGCAAAGGGACTTCGTGACCACCGTTTAACATTTATTGGGATGCGATAGGACGCGGACACTGAGAGCGGACACGAAAGCAACACTCTTGCTTGCTTGCTATGTGTGCGAGTTTATGTACAGGTGACAATTTACAGGTGTGGAGGCGGGTGGGGTAGAACAGTTATTTTTCATGAGATGCGAGTTCATGTTCGCACGACACCACACGTTACAATAGCACCTTCCAGACGCACCGCCGACGCGTGCATTCATGCCGGCAATGAGAAATACAACAGCGATAATTAGAACAATAATAAAAGCAATGACATTGAGTATACTTGATGCATAGTCTGCTCCCTGATGTTCAACATTGCAACGCAAAGTAACAATGCTCAAAACGTTGACCAGCGAGATTCTTCGTGAGTGCCTCACGAACGACCCCCTCCCGTCGCAGGAATGTGGAATTGACACCGTTGGCGCAGGGTTTGCTACTCCCCACACTTTCGGCCGGCAACCACAACCACATCACCTCTGTGATGTGTGCCACCGCTGGTGGCCAAAGCATCACCAAAGCCATCTAACAAACCTCGACCATTGCCAGTAATTGAAGGGGGGGTGGGGGGGGAGCTTTAACTTTTGTCGAGTTCATGGACGCCATCATTTATCTGCTTACTTAAAATCTCATTATTGTTTCAAGTGCCTACTAAGTACGACTGACCTGTGGCCTCTTAAGAGTGTTACACAGCAAGCCTGGGCCCATTCTCTCTCCCTGTGGAGATTGTACTTTCGAACAAACATTGGCCTTGCTTCAAAGTCGCACACATTGAGAGGAACCCTTGAAAATATCTGGATCATTACATAGAATTCGCTGTCTACATTTATAGCCGCGATGTCCATTTTCATTGAACATCTTTTACAACCAAGGGTAAAAACAGGGTTTCTGATGCACATCTAAACATCGCATTAACCGATGATAAAATCTAAATAAAATTTAAAAAAAACACGCACGCGCCTCTGGGCTTCAGACTCTATACAATCCTCGAACAAACGAAACTCGATCATTAAACATGGATGCATGTGAGCTTAATTCACACCCCAAGCGAAAATCAGATTTCATCTCGTGGACTCAAAAGCTGATTTGACATAAACAGATGGACGCTGCCCCGTGTAACCACGGTAGAATCATCAAGACCACAGTGCTAATTTACTCAGCATTTCATGGTTCATATTACGGAAAGACTGGCCCTCACCATGGCAATGGGTAATTTCCACCATTTGGTCCGATGAAGAGCCACTGAGTGCCACACGATGACCCTTGTGAGCAAGGAGACTCTCAGACTCCGAGATTTCTCATCCTCCTCCCCCCCCCCAAATCCGACACAGCGTACCGTCCAACAACATTCTCTCCGTCCCGCGTGATCGTTAATCGCAGGCGCATAAAAAAGCGGCATAATTAATAGCGCGCTCGGAGAAACGCCACTAAGTAATTATGATTGCAGCTGCAAGAGCGCACGGGACCCGTGTTAATCACTGGGACGTGGCGTCGGCTCCGCGCAGCGAAATCTCTCAACACCCCCCACACCACACACACCGCGGCTGTGTGCGCATGGAGCCACGGCGCGAGCACTCGTCAAATCGCCATCCTTGTCGCGTTCGATTAGATTTCACCCACGGCTCGTGTCTCCATCGATATCCGTTGCAATCCCTCTCGTCCTCGACCGTCGACCGTCGAGGACGAGAGGGGTTATGCTACCGGGTGAGGCCCATTGGGCCGTAGAGATCTTTTTGGAGAAGTGGCCTGGCCACAAATGGTAGCTCAACGAAGTGGCTTATCACCGTGTGGACATTTATATGAGCCAAATACTCTAAACGCACGTTGATTCTAAATGTGAAGAGAAAAATCCACGCGACCACGGGGAGAGAGACACGCAAACTCCAAATATGCAGCATGCAAGAGGCCGTGGGTTCGTGATCGAACCCACGGCCTCTTGGATATCAGACGATGAGTTATCATCTCGCCACCGTCACGCCCCAAACACCTCTCTGCGCTTGCAGTCTCTACTCCAGGGTCAATGGAACGTTTTTAGCAATCATAAGATGCCTTGAGCTTATATGGCCACATCGTCTTAGGAACAAGCTTGCCTGAGGATCTGAGGGCATCAGGTTTATTGAATGGTTTTAAACAAGGTATTAAAACATACCCTTTCAGATTGGCGTTTAATTAGGATGCTTTTTAGGTGTTTATTATGCATTTTATTATACTGTTAGTTCATTATAATGCGATGCAAAAAAATGTGTGCGTCATTCGTATCGTTGTGTACATTGTGTCAGTCGCTTTTAGTTTGTCCTGTAAAGCACTTTGTATTGCTTTATTTGCACGAATTGTGCTATGTAAGTAAAGTTTGATTGATTATAGTTCCCAATCACTTACATTTCAAAAACGGAGGAGATTGGTAAACCTTAGCCGTGCACCACGGTTGGGTCTTGTTGAGGGTCAGAGTTAATTGATGTTTTACCCAAAGGCGGCTCAGCGGCTAGCTTAGTTGTATGAGCCACAGCCGTAGCCGGGACATGTCATGCCATCGTAATCAATAATCAAGGCTTAATCAAATCAGCTGTACCGGTGGCTCAGTGGTAGAGCGAGCAGCTTGCAATTGGAAGGATACGAGTTCGAATTCTGATTGGGGTGGTCAATAAAACGAGTCTCGCTTTATATTCGTTGTTCTTTCGGTAAAGTCACATTGAAGGGAAAAAATAAAATAATAATATATAAAACAATAAAAATTCTCACGACGTTTCGACTGTAACACAAACAGTCGAAACCTCGTGAGAATTTGTATTGTTTTATATATATTGTATTATTTTATTGTTTCCCTTCAACGTGAACTTTACCGAAAGAACCAAGAATATGAATCACTGCAGTCACGAAAACTTTAAATCAATATTTGAGTCTCGCTTTGTGGGGAAGTCAACAGTGGTTGTCCTATGGATAGACTCGACCATGCCCTATGAACGTCCACTGTCTCAGGTGCTGTAAACAGGAGATGAGCACCAATGCCTCAATGCTCAATTGAGATCGGCAATCGCTTTGACGTTGACCAGAAGGGCCGGTGCGTGTGCTCGCAAAGGGCCTGCGACCGGTAACGAAGCCGTTTGTTTACCCTATCATTATTATATAAAGGAAGTATTTAATTCCTTGCCAGCCAACCTGCCTACGGAACACCTCGGTGTCCTATCGTCATGATTACGTAAGACGATTGTTGCACTGTCAGGACTGAACGCTGCCAGGATTACATAACACAACGCTTGGTAATCTGGGCGAATGCTGCGAATTATTAATTTGTACGAATCGCGATAGTAACTGCGCTTTCTCGCCCCCCCCTCCACACCACTTGCACCCAGGGTGTGTTTCATAATCAATCGGGTTGCGTGCGCACGTGTGCAACCAGGCCGGGAAAAGTCTCACTGACTCTCAATGCCTACTGCGGGAGCATCCTGCACTGGGAAGTTGGGTTTATTTCTTTTGAGCGTTGCCACTCTGCCAATGTCATACAAAGCAATTTCATAATGTGGATTCAAAGTTCTAGCCTCAACTAAACTCAGCCATTCATACCATCAGGGGTCAACCAAAATGAGTACAATTTTAGCGGGAAGCCAACAGTGGTTGTGCAAAAGATATCCCTGCCCCTGATATATGAACGCAAGAATTTCCACCATGGACTCAAGGCTATAAGCAGAGGTGAGGTGGGCCGATGGCTCAGGGTACAAAGATGCTGAGACCCTGAGTTCCAATCCAGGTTCCAGACGTCCTGTTTAATCACCCGGTGGCTGAAACCAGGTTCCAGCCGCCCGTGATTAAGCATGGTTCACGAGTGCAGTGATTTGATGGTCGTGGCTCTGTCACCAATGACTCAACAAAAATCAATAGGCGTTACATTTGGCTTTCAAATTAATTTGATTACTCACCAGCTCTGAGTAGAACAACAACATAATATTGATTCGACTGCCAAGCGGCAAAACATTTCCCCGCAGCTGGTCAAGCGAGAAAAACACAATAACTGGTGTGGAGATTTTTTTTTTAAATGCAGAAGTCATTCCGTGATGTCTCCTCGCAACAGGACACTCTCTTACACGTGGCGGTCGTGCTGCTCTGCGAGAGCTCCGAATGGACACTTCATTATGCGAGGCGACACCGATGTAGGGTTGCCACCTTTTTCACACAGTCGGTGAGGGTTGGAGGATCAACCTTCCCGTGGGCGTTGAGGTGCCATACCCCGGCTGTCCGGGAGAAGTCGGCACAGCAAAATGTGGATACTGCCTTTTCCATCGGCACGGGATGGAGTGTTGCTCCCTCCCACGCTTGGATTTTCTCCGGGTGCTCCGTATTTCCTTCACATGTAAACACGTATTAATTGGCTAATATAACACCTTCATATATGTAGAGGATCCCAGAGCTTGGGGTGGGCACCAGCTTCCTGTGTGGCTGCCTTCACCGTTTTCCTGTGGTTCCTATATGTTTACCGTGGGGCGCCGCATTACAAGTTGAATGATTATTTCCATATAAAAGTAAACAAAACACGAAACAGTGACCCGCAGACGCCCTCCTCCTGCAGAGCGAGCTACAGACCAAGCATGGTACTCCAGTGTTTTAAAATAGACCAGACAAATGGCTTTGATCTTTCTTGACTGGTAAACCTTCATCATGTGCATCGGTGTTTCACACAAAATACTGGTTTTCAACACTTTATTGCCTTGCTCCCCCCCCCCCTCTATAACGGTTCGGAGGCTGTGCCTGGGAGATTTTTCTTTTGCTCTTGCTTTTGGCTTTACGAGGCTCTGCGTACATCAGTGCACACAAGAGCCCTCTCTGTACGCTGGGTTTTCCAAACTCCGACGGGATCTGTCTGCAGCGGAGCGCGGCCCGCTGCGGGAATGTGACCGTGTGGGGGGGGGGGGGGGGGGTTTGGGTAGCAACGAAAAATAAACATCGCCGAGATTATTTATGAACTAGCCTCAGTGCCACCCGTTCATCCCCGGGAATTTATGCAAACGTATTTTTTTGGCGACAGCAATTTGTTTTATTTTGCTGACGCCCAGAGCTCGATTTTCTCATGTAAGATTTTCCCGGCATTCCCCCACCCCACCACCTCGGCACCATCCCGCCATCCGCACCACCCACTCAAAAACACACCCGGGCGACAACAGGCAGAGGGAAATATTTTCTAGAGCTCAGCAACGGACAGCTCCAGGCGCGAAACAAAGCCCCCTTGCCGATGCCGCAATCGAAGAGTCGCCTTGCAGCGAGTCAGGAGTTAATCCTCCTTCTTCTTCTTCTCGACCACAGGCAGGGTCGAGCATCCGGATCTGTTCAGCGGCACGCCGCGCCTGTGCGTCGGTGGGTGGGGGTCGGGGGCGGACGTTTCCAACACACGTTCACACGTAAAAAACAAAATCCACAACGTTATTATTCTTAACGCCGAGGCAAACCGGGCCCGCACAATCTGCCACAGCAGCGGAGGCAATGCAACGATGGCGTTGACTCCAGATCGACAGGCAGGAGCCGCTTGCGATCACTCCCGAGCGCGTGTGTGCATTCGCAGCATTCGTATTCGCGAGTATTCCCTTTTAGCCCGGGATAAGATGTGGCCCAGGGCTATTAGGGAGCAAGGCGTGGGGCTAACGACGTGTCTGGGCTTCCTTTGTCTCCCCACTTGCGACGCCGACACGATCGTACCGGGTACTCATTTGAGGCTGAGTCGGCATAGGGGAGGCCCAGGACAGTCACACGTGGTGTGAATGACTGCGAGTCACACCTAGGTGCGAACAGGATTGTGGTGCAGCGCCAAGCCACTGCGCCACTCACCCCCCCCCCCCACACACACACACACACAGAGACGCACAACAACAACGTCCTTTTCCCACTGAGTGACGGTGACTTTGTGCCAGGCTAGGTGCACTTTGAGGCCACCACGTCAAGTGATGGTGGCCTGCTTGCAGTCGTTCACGGGACACACACGGGCGTTATTGCCTAACTGACTGAGATGACCGTCAGATGCACCACCTGTCTCTCACCACTGTGCCAACACATCAAGACAAAGGTGGCCCATGTGGCTGACTTTGGCAAGTGCTGTTGGCGAGTAGCACCTATAAAGGCCGGCACTGTACACCAGGGGGTGGGTGGGTGGCCAGCACCAACTCCTAACCGACTTTGTCTCCCAAGTTGCAATGCTTACAAAAGTGGCGATGCTTACAAAAGTACTTATTTGAGGCTGTGTCGACCTAGGGGAGGCCCAGGATCGGTTCAGATAAACGTCACTGGGTGTTGGTGACCGTGAGCGGGAATCTAACCCGGGGGGTCAGGTTTGTAGCGCAGCGTAGCGCCAACCGCTGCGTCACCGCTCCCCACAATCAAACGACAACCGCCGTTCACCACTCAGTGGCGGTGACGTCACCACGGCTCTAGTGCCAGGCTAAGTGCACTATCAGGTCAAGCACCGCTATCCAATAACAGTGGCGAATATTTGTAACAGACCCAGGTGCCGTGGGTTGACTGCCTGAGATGACCGGCAGATGCGCAGAATGTGCTCCCCTCTGTGCCGACTTGCTGCATTGTAGCCGCTCGTCGTGGTGAGAGTTGCTTCTGTATTGCATTTTTTTGATTCTGCTACTTATACTGCAGCTGTTATGGATTGACTCATGCAGCCAACTATGGCTGCAAAGTTTGGTCGTACATGTTATGTATATCTTTATTGTTAAATTTGATTCACAGTTCCTGTGATCACTGTTACATTGTTTTTATAGCTTTATTTTGGTGATTTTGAAAACGTTTTGGTTTAGCCATGTTTGTTTGTTGTAGTACAGAGTTAGCCTGATAACTTTAGTCTACATTGTCTTATGGTTGTTATTGCTTGACTTGCATCCCGCTGGGATTTTTGCACACAGCGTTGAAATACGGTGTTTTTTTCTGGAAGACTTTGCTGTTTTTTCCAGGATTTTTCTGTTGCGTGTAGTCACTTTAAAATGTTCCTTGTTCATGTTTTTTTGTTTTGTTGCGGTTGCACCCGAGTCAAGAGCCGCATGACTCACAGGGTTATACCTAATACATGAAACTGAAACTGAAAACGCGCAGACCCACGCTCGCACGGACGGACAGACGCGCTCGCACGGACGGACGGACGGACCGCTTGCCATCTACGACGCCCCACGGTCCGCCCAGACTCCATGCATGCGGGCGCCCTGCAGACGGGCCAGGCGCTCCCCGTGGTCCCGCGTGGAGTCGTGCAGCCCCCTCAGGGCCCCCTCCAGGGAGGCATGGAGCCGTGTCGCCTTCAGCAGGGAGTCGGACATCTCGGCGAGGCTCACGCGCATCCTGCTCGCCACGACAAATCGGGAGACCAGGGGCGGCACGGCAGAGAATCATCGGGATCAGAATGTTTATTTAGACCGGAGGGGGAATTCCGATGAGCTAATGAAGCTCTTTTTTTTTTTACAGATGTCCAAAGTAGAAGTGAGGGGGGGGTCAGCAAGTTATAACAGAAAACAATACAAACAAAACGATAGGAGTGCAAAATAGTGAAAATGGTAATCAAGTCAAAGACAGGTTCGGCCCACTGAACTACGTAGCTCTTTTTTCAGAAGCAACTTGGCCATACATGAGAGGCGTCACTTCACCCCCTAAACCATCTTCTCTCGGCTCGTGTCAATTCGCCCATTGCAGTGGAGCGGGCAGGTTGCTTGAAACACTCGAATTAACTTTAGTACCCTCGTGCGGGATGACCAATTGACGCCGGTTTGCCTTTCTTAAAGTCTGCTGGCGCAAGATGATCACACGTCAGGACAGGAATCCTAATTGAGCTGTGAATTGATTCAATTACCTGCACGCGCCGCCCTTTGAGTTTGCGGTGCTTAGGTGAGGCCGGCGGTAATTGGAGTGGGGCACCTGTGCGTTCCAACGTGCTTCGGCTGATCCGCAAAAATTCAGAGGTGAAGCACTTCATCTGTCCGGAATTGGAGCATGAAAAGTGGGGCCGCGTTGCTTCACGCGCGTGAAGCAACTACGCGCTCCAGGAGGTCACGGAGTTGAATTCCTGACGGGGTTTCTCTTGCAGTTCTTTCTTCCCCCCAGCGCATAGATCAGATAGTCGCTCTGGCGTGTAATCGGTTGTGTTAAACTTAGGACGAAGAGTACCATGTAAACATCTGATTGACGATACAAAAAAAAGTAAAGTTATTAAAATCGGTAGAAATGATCTTGCTTTAAAAAAAAGTCGCACTGGACTAATACCGGGCATTGTCACCGACACTCGGGTTTGTGTTTATAATCGTAAAAGTATAACTTTGCAGCCTCCCTGCACGAGTGAAAGACTCCTCCCACACGTTTCACCATAACATCACCGCAACTAGTCACCGCTGATGACAAATCTCACTCGGGTCGTTGGGTTTATAACGGAGCGCGCTAACCATTGCGCCTCTGCTCTTCTCCCTCTTTTACGTTCGCGCAGAAAGCATTGTTTATGATATTCTAGGGCGATAACAGGAACTGTATATTTGTTTTACTCCCCTTGCAAAATACAATACAAGTTGGTATTTCGGGCGTTTTCGTGCACGGTCTCCGCATCTCACTGCGCTGTACAAACAATTGGGTGGGAGGCCACAAGTTAGGCAGGGAGAGAAAATCGTATGTGTGAGTGTTGCTCAAGACAAGTCGAGGTATAGCAGCAGTCACAGGCAGAGAGAGAGTTGGAGAGGCGTTCTGAGTCCAAACTTCAACAGGCTCATCACTCGCTCTATCCCACATGTTGAAATTAACTGATTAAAATGAACCAACGGTGTGAAATCAAACGTGCATATTTAATTCAGAGCGCCCAACCTGTAAACAGTACGTGGGGTTATCTGTGTAGCAATAATACGAGAGTTCAAAACGTTCTGATGAAGATAATGGATCCTTGCAGTCACGAAAGCTTTAAATCTAGAATAAAAAATTTTGAAGATTAAAAAAGACGTGAACATACACGAGCGTAAATGTTTGTCTTAAAATGTACAACTTTAATTAAGAAGCCGAAAGGTTTTGCTCAGTGTTGCTACCTGGGTATGGCCCAGGAGTCGGACCACTTGAGCTGGTGGCACTGCTGCGATGCTGGATTCGCATCCAGGGTTTAATAATCTTCATCGTAGCTGTATATATATAGCGGCGTCGTCCGTTCATGCGAATTGCATCTGACAGTTGCCGAGGAACCACAAGCGAGCTGCTGGAAGTTAACAGCCATGCGGTGAGCCGGCGCTACCGATATTTGTCCAAGTTCTACGATCCTCAATATATAAAAATGTTTCGTGGCGATGGCTGAGTGCGATCCGCATCACCCGGAGGAAACCCCTGGCGTGCGAGGGGGTACCACTCTGGAAGTTAAAACCTCACGGCTAAGCCTCCCGGGGTCTCAAGATGACTTATCATGACGGTTCCAGCATTGGGCTGTTTGTGACCAATCCAGTTATTGTACGTAATGAGTACTTAGCTAAACTAAACTTTTTTTGCATATTTTACCAGGTAAGTCCCACTGAGCTATATACAGCAACTGTTTTTCAGAAGTTACCTGGCCACAAATGATAGCTCAACGAAGTGGATGATCACGCTGACATTTATCGCTGCAAATACTCTATAACGCCATGTTTCTAAATGTAGAGAAAAAAACATAGAGATCCCCCCGGAGAAAAATCCACGCGACCACGGGGAAAAAAAGAAGCGCAAATTCCAAATATGCGGCAGGCGTCAGGGTCGTGATCGATCGAACGCACGACCTCCTATGTAACCAGGCGAGGTAGTTAACATTCCACCACCGTGTCACCCCACGAGCTGACACTATCAACTCCTGGCCCACACCACACAGCCACAAGCCTTACCGACCTGCTGGTGGTGGGGTTGGTGGACCCATCCACCACGTGCTGAGTTCAAGCCTTGCTTAAAGCGTGCGAGCGAGATCGGGTGAGATTCACACAGCAGCGCAATCAGTGGCGAGTTTCTCGCAGCTCGGCTCGCCTCGGCGTGCAGCTCACAGAGAGGGAGGCAGTGGTTTTTTTGGGGGCGCCACGGTGGCTAGGAGATGTTAATTACCTCGCTCGGTATACAGGAGGTCGTCGGTTCGGTCCGGACCCCGACGCCTGCTGTGTATTTGGAGTCTGCGTGTCTCTCTCCCCGTGTTTTCGGCGTGGACTTTTCTCCGGGTCCTCCGGTGTTACCCCTCACATTTAGAATAAACCTGCCGTTTGGAGTGTTCAACTGCTATACATTTCCGCATGATGATAATCCAACGTCGTTGAACTATAATTTGTAGCCGGGTCGCTTCTGCGAAAACAACTATACCGTATAGCTCAGGGGGTATTCCCTGGTAAAATAAAACAAATAATGAGTTAAATTTCGATTTAAAGCTTTCGTTACTGCAAGGATTCATCTTCTTTGGTTCTTTCGGTAAAGTCACGTAGAATGAGAATAAAATAATAAAATAAAATAAGACAACAAAATTCTCATTTTATTGTATTCTCATTCTACGTGACTTTACCGAAAGAACCAATAAAACAAATAATGAGTTAGTAAAAGTTAGTTTCCTGCGACGCGCGATACTGATGAACACGAATCACCTGGCCGCAGCCTTGCCAACGGCGTCTCGCTCTTTCAGGGTGTCGCCCGCGCCCCCCTCGAAGGCGGCCTCCACTCGGACGACTCCCCGCTGCAGCTCGCCGTGCTCTCCCCGCAGCGCGCTGAGCGACGCGCGCAGGGCACCGGCGAACGAGCCGTGCTCGCCTGCCTCGGCCAGCACCGTGTCGCGCACGCTGGACAGCACGCGCCCGTACTCGGACACCACCCGGCGGACCCTGTCCACCTCCTGCCTCGTGGCCGGGCGGCACTCGTCCGCTACGGGGCGCGCGGGGCCCACCGCCTCGATGGCGAAGGAGATGCCGCAGCGATCGCTCCCGCTGCCGCTGCCGCTGCCGAAGACCTCCGCCGAGTCCGTGATGAGGGTCGGTTCTGAGCGATGGTCCTCTCGACCCGGTGGCACGACGCTCGCGGACTTATCCGTCCGCTGATGGCGAGAAGCGTGGCCGGTGGTCGTTATTGTTGATGATGTTGTTGTTGTTGATGTTGTTGCTTTTGGAGTGGTGGCAGGCGTGGTGGTGGGTCCATCGTGGTTCAGCGAGCGTCGAGGTGTAATTAACGGGCGAGGAGGAGGAGGAGCTACTGCCTGCGATTGTAACCACACGGAGGGCAACACTTCGAGTCCCGAGCCAGAGCCTGCGTCGTTGTCGCCGTCACCGCTGATGTGGCTCACGGCCCACGGAACGCAGAGAAGGAGCAGAGCCACGGCCCGGCAGCTCCGCGAGAACAGCATCATGATGACCTCCTTCCTCGGATGAGTCGGCAGACGACGGCAACAGCTTGGGCTGGATGAAATGCGCCTCGATAACGATACTCTGAGAGGAGTGTCCGTGGTTTTTTTTTTTGGCGCAATACGGAAAGTTGTACCTCGTGGCGAAGGGCTAAAGTTGGTACGGTGCTTAAAATGTCCTGCACTAAATGTTTACCCCCTGTTGATTTTGCAGGTTCCAGAGCTGTTATCAAAAGTCTGGAAGACCGAAACGCCGATAGACGTTTTTTCCCCCTTAACAGTAGAGACGCGTAAGGAAGGGAGATCGATTTACTTGGTTAGTAACAGCTCGATAAAACAATACGAACCGCCCTTACGGTCAGATGAAAGTTAGACTGGACTTCTTAAAAAAAAGAAAAATCCTGAGCAGTCTAAAACAATAACGAAGCTTCAATATTAAAAGAGGTTAGCGTGAACATAAACATATATGTGTGCACATAAAAAGGCAGATTGCTCGCTCTTAAGAGCGACTACATGTGTTTGTCATAAGCGAATCGAGTACAGCGCAAGGAACGAGAGGGCACACAGAAGGAATGCAAGCACTTCACCGAGTGGAAAGGTTTTCTCACGGCACTGGCCAACATCGGAATTCAGAGGCTGCGAAAGCCGCCGACGATGGCCACTGCAAGTTGCACAGACGGTGCCCGTGAGCGAATCGGCGGCCCTGATGTCCCTCTCGATCACGCAAATCCACCAACCACGCGTTCACGCTGCCATCCAAATCGAGAACTTTCCCCGCACGCTGCGTCTCCCGTTCACCGGCGTCGGCCTTTGACATCCACACGCCAGCATCACGGCCGTGAGGTTCCACTATTATTATTGTTGCCTGCCACGTAAGTAAATAACAAAAACAGCATAAAACCTCAAACCCACACCCTTGGTGAGTTGCAGTGGCGGAGCTGAAGTAGGCGAAAAAGTTCTGGGTAACAGCGCAGGCAAATACCGGCGCGTCTGTCTAGATAACAAAGACAAAGAATACCCCCAGGATAGCCTTAGCAGGCTGCTGGGGCAAGTGTGCTCTTGGCGAGTAGCAGCACCTATGAAGGCCGGCACGGCACACGAGGGGTGGGGTGGGGTGGCGTTGGTGGCCAGCACCGCGCCCGAGACAACTCCGCACACGCTGCAACGCATCGACTCCGTTACAAGCCGCGTGCCCCTATTGAGCCATGTGGTAGAGGGAGAGGAGGGAGATGAGAAGGGAGGGGGGGGGAGTGGGAGGAGCGGTGGATTGTGAGGGGCGTTAAGTTGTGGAGGAGAGCGGTGGGTTTTTTTCCCTCTTCGTGTTAGGGCTCTGGGTGTGTTTTGTGCGGACGAAAGGGGGGTGGATGGTGGTGGCCGCGCTCAGCCAGAAGCAAACCAAGCGAAAGCCTAGCGCCCCAAAGGCTCAATGTGCCCTGGATTCATGGACAATATAGGGTGGTGGGTGTACCAAATATCAGCTTAAATTCAAATAACTGCATCGTAATGTAAACACAATAAGCTATATTCTTTGGTTCTTTCGGTAAGTCACGTAGGTGGAAAAAAAAATCACCACGTTTCTATCGCAACACAAGCGGTCGTCGTCGGGCATAACAAATAATCCATCAGTGGAACTGCTAAAACAATTACGGTGACAAGCCGGTTAATATCTCTATCCATTGTATCTGCATCTCTTGTTAACCATCTCACGATATCGCTGTTTTTGTCTGCATTTATATTATCTCACTACAAACTGTATATCTCGCCTATCCGTCTCTCTCCTGTAGTCTCATTGAGAGTTATATTATTGGTTATTTCGGTAAAGTCACGTAGAAGGGAAACAATAAAATAATACAAAATATATAAAACAATAAAATTCTCACGACGTTTCGACTGCAACACAAGCAATCATCATTTTATTGTTTTAAATTTGTATTATTTTATTGTTTCCATTCTACGTGACTTTACCGAAAGAACCAAGCAAGAATATGAATCCCTACAGTCACGAAAGCTTTAAATCAAAATTCATTGAGAGTTGTTTGTGAATCAAGAGGTCGAGGCCCCTAAAATCATGACAGTACTGTTGAGGGCCCCATTGGGGTAACACCCCAACTGAGCAGCGGATTCGTGCACCACCACTACAAAACCGCCACCTGAGTTGGATTCGCTCCCATGGGTGGCAACTGACATTTGAATCGCTTGTGGGCCCTCCCTAGGTGGACTCAGCCTTAAACACGAGTGCAAGCGCTGAGGCAGATACGTGGCTTTGGCGTGGTCCTGTCCACAATGCCCTTTATTCGTGTGACGTTTTGGCCTTAAGAGGTGCTCGCTAACACTAAATATATAATGAACATGTACGGCTAAACAGAAGATGATCTGTGTGTGTGTGGGCTGGGATGGCACTGAGTTTGGACGTGAAAAAAGCGGACCAGCAGAGGCCCGCTATGAAGGTAAAGTATTTTGTGAAAAGCTATGAAGAAGGGCCATTGTCCGAAACGTCAGCTATTATATACATTTTCCCCGTTTAGGGCAGTGTTATATTGACGAATGTGTTGAGCTTTTCGTTCATGAAGGCAAAAGGATCGCTTTACAAATGAGGGCCTGTTGCCTTTTCTCTGTTGGCGAGTGGGCATAACAGCTGCTGTCTGTGCGTGCACGTGTGTGTGTGTGTGTGGAAGCCTTGTTTGTGTAAGTGTGGAGCACTGGCATATCGTGTTTCCTGCACTGCCCTTACAGGTCCCATTACTGGTCCCACGCACTCCACCAGAGGGGCATTGCAATATACGGTACGCACGACGTGCAGGATTGGAACGCCTTCAGGTTGACTCAGCCTCAAATCGATGCCTTCTATCAATGTAGGTAATACCAAGGGGGGGTGGGGGGGCGGTGGTGGGAAGGCGGCGCAATGGTTCGCGAACTTCGCTTTGTAGCCAGCAACATGAGTTCGATTCCCGGGCGGCACTAACATCAGCGGCGAGCGGTACCTTAACTAGGCCAGGTCACCCACACCTCCCCCCCCCCCCCCCCGACTCACACCCTTTCACCAGCACGCACTCACCAGTACGGTGAAGTATGGTTAGGTGAGACTCCCATGACCGAAGTGGAATGTGCGAAGGCTTCGTCCAACCGCGACAAAGGACACTCGTGTTTAATTATTCAAAATATCTGCTACGGTATCGTCAATGAAATGTGTGTTGTGGTTTTTTTTAATACCTGACGTTCCTATTGATATCAGGTTCGTAGCGTTAGACCAGGGGGTCGGCGATCTTCCGCGTGCCGCTCTTTTAATGACTGCTTCGTGGCGTTATCTATTGAGAACCAACGTCTCTCGTATTGACCGCACGGTGCATTGCGGCTCGTGTTACTTCCCTTGCCGACCCCTGTGTGAGACCTTCGGACCGTTTGTTGAGGTGTGTTCTCCATTGCTTTGTTTCTCTTGAAAAGGAGACTTTTGGTCTGGATGGGCTCTAGCCTGGTTTTAAAAAATATATATGCGGTACTGTTTAACACGCAGGCTTCGCGTCGTAAGTGCACCTCCACCCGACGCAGCCAGCCAGTCTGTAAGGTTTGTCACGTGACATTGTAAACAATGTTGCGTCACCTCTTGGACACTCCAGGTGTTTCTGAAGTAGCTACAAACTCTCACGATTTGTTCACGTGACAAACCTTACTCGTTGGCTGGGCCTGGTGGTGGCGGGTTTAACGACACATTTATATTTACGCGATCTAACTCAAACAAGACCTCTATTGTGGATGATATTGGTCTCGACGGGCTACGTGTTAAACGGAATATCACAAAACCTCTTGATTTTACTGAGTGAACACAGGTTATAGATTTGAAGTTTTCGTGACTGCAAGGATTCATACACACACAGCTTAAAGGTCGCGGTCTGAGCTTGGCTGTGTTTCACTCCAGCGCTGTCCTCGAGACAGTCTGGTCCCTTCACCTGATGAAGGCCACTTGTGTTGTGGCCGAAACGTCGTGATTTTTGTTGTTTTATTTTTTACCTACGCGACTTTACCGAATAGAACCAAAGAGTAAGGATTCATAATCTTTGTTTTTTTCGGTAAAGTCACGTAGGTTCTTTCTTATCTCGTTGTCTTTTAAAAGCTCTAACAGATACGTGAAAACCCTCCCCGTAGAGGTCATTCATTCTAGATTTGAAGCTTTCGTGACTGCAAGGATTCATACTCTTTGGTTTTTTTTCGGTCAAGTCACGTAGGACTTTACCGAAAAAAACAAAGAGTATGAACACAGATTGCAGGGATTCAAAAAACTTGCACCACGTTTCGGGTGGAGATGGGTGTACGACACATTTACGTGATCATACCTCAAAAAACTTAATCATGGATACACAGTACCGCATTGTATATGTATGTGCTGGGTGGCGCAGTGGTGAGTACAATATGCTATCAACATGGTCACCTGAATTCAACTAAAAAAACGAAACAATGTTTTTTTGTATATTACCAGGTAAGGCACACTGAGCTATATGGCTCTTTCTTTTTTTACAAACGACCTGGCCACATATGGTAGCTTATCGAAGTGGCGTATCACCATGTGGACGTGTATAGCAGCCAAACACTTGAAACGCAACTTTCTAAATGGGGAGGGAAAACCCGTAGGACCTGGAGAAAAATCAACTCGACCACGGGGAGAGAGAGACACGCAAACTCCAAATATACAGCAGGGGTCAGGGATCGAACCCACGACCCCCTGTGTAGCCAGATTGGGTAGTGATTGTCTCTCCACGACATGTTAACTACCAGGCACGGCTAACATCATTGGCTCGTGGTAATGGACCCAGTCCTTGCCTCGCCATTAGGATCGCGTACTCATCCCCAGAAACAACACAAGTGCATTGACAGTGGCTGTAAAATCGTATATGCACTGCGTGGCCAACATTGGCCATTAGAGAGACAAAGCAGCCTGGACGGACATGATATTAGCCGCATTCCATCCCAGTTAAGTCACGGCACCCTTAATACGTGCTTACAAACAGTAGGCAACTTGACCAGACATCCTATAATTGTACACTGTAGGTCTTTGTTAACTCAGAAAACAGACTGGGCTTTGGGGAGTTGTTCTGGTTGATCGAACTTGGAATTGTTATGGTCGAACGTGTGGCTATGAAGTCAGCTTTAAACCCGCAATGGATTTTTTTTCGTGCTTTAAGTGTTGGTAATAAAAATATATTTTTTAATTTTCATTTCAAAGTTCCCGTGTGAATTACACACACAGCTTCTCTGGAGTGTGGCTCAAATTTTTTTTATAACGTGGAATTTCTGAATTAATCCCACATATATACAGCTGCATAACATGTACGTGTAAAAAAAAAACACGGTTATTACGCACGTGACTGCCTAGCGAGTTGTACGCACGAGTGGATAGGGCAGTGCAACAGTGAGTGCGGATTTAGCTTTAATTAGTGAACTGTGGGGGGGGGGGGTTGCGGGGGGGGGGCACGGATTTTGGCCCGACAATTTATAAACAAACCTGGGACCTTCTAAAGGTGTTACGCTTATCGGGAGCTCGCATGCAGTGCGGCACAGTACATTGCGGAATGTGATTTTGCTGCTCACGAAAAACGCCACTAATGGAAGCCACATGTGGTGCTTAGAATGAGTTAAATGCGTCAGGCACTTTGTGATTAAACTGACCCGGGCGTAGCGGTGTATGCTTGTGATCCTGCGCTTAGGGGGCCGAGGGTTCATCATCATCACAGCGGTCAGGATCAATCCACTGCTCGATGAAGGTGTACGCAAGCCAACGCTACCTCTCGTGAAACCGCGATGTGATAATCCGCCCAGCACCTGCCGCTCCGGATGTGCGGGGGAAGGACAACATTGGTGTGGACCTTTGTTATTGTCCCATGTGTGTGTGTCTTTGTCTCCAGATACTCTAGTTTTCCCCCCACATGATACAAAACACTTCTTAAAATGCCTATCGTCCCAACATCCGTTGACAGGGTCCTCTTGACAAAAAAATATTTTTGAGGATGACTGAAACGATTCCCGGATATATACTAAATCTATCTACATTTTATTCATTTGATGATGCTGCTGTGTCGGCAGTGATGCGCAGGCACAAATAATAATTACAATCATGAAAATTCAAAAGTTCAGCCAACCCTATAAAATCTGTGAATGATGACTCGCACGACCTGCAACAACTGACCGTGTGTTTATTGTTGGAATGCACCCTTCATCGAATATGCGAATGAATACAAAAACACCCCAACACATTAATCAAGAACACTGCCCTCGAAGGAAAACAATCTACACAAGGTGAAGTTTCAGGCTCATGGGCCTTCTTCATAGCTACACGTGCGTTGAGTTTTGTGTTTACCACGCGCTGTGTTCACGCTCCTTGTTGTAACAATAAGCCAACGATGAAATGTAGATGCTTCTATGAAGCTAAACATGCCCTCGGTGCGATGTTTAACCGCATCTGGTCACGCACATTCCATGAAGGCAAGAGGAACCCGACTCAACCATCACCCTTCCCTTGCTGTGTCTCACGATCCCTAAGCGCGCTGTTGCCGTCAGAAGGGGATGGAGGGAACTCGAGACAGTCACCTTGAGTAGAACATCGGCTAAAATATTTCTGTAGAACTGCTTTG